TTTAGTGAATGAATGACATGACAATGTATTTCTTCCCAGGAAGCTCCTACAATTTAAGACAATTGCCCGGGTCACAACTTCACGGTCTGAATGCTGACTCTCATAAGCTTCATTAAGTTAAAGATCATTACGTGCTTTCCACTCAATTATACTTTTTCTCTAAAAATAGAATGCCTGAAAACAGATCGATATAAATATTGACTATTATTAATAGGACACAAAATTTAGAGCTTGATTTAATTTAAAGGAATATAAATACCAAAATACGATGAATTACTTTCCCTTCTAACCTTTAACTACCCTTAGTCAAGACTTAATCTATTCTGGTTTCTTCTCGGCTTGAACCCTGGAATCTCTTTTATATTGAGACTTATCTAGAGCTAGTCTTCTCTTCTAAGCCCCTTGACCAGCTTTCCTAGTTGCCAGAACTCTTGCAGTTTTTCTTGTACTCTGGCTCTAACTGCCCATACTGGGGGAAAAGAGGGGGAAAAAAACATGTTCATTTTATCTAATTGTTCAAATGGAACAAGTTTGATCCTAGGAAGGGCTTCTCTTGCTCTTCTTCTACAACAGTCCAATTTAATAATTTTCCCATATTTTCTCTCTCCCATCAGTAGAGCTAGAAAGGCAAAGTATATATATCCTACCTTTGTTAGGAGTCCTGGCTAGGATGCTAGTTTTCAAAGTTCTTGTTCTCAGAACCACTTTTACTCTAAACACTTCACGAGGAACACAAAGTTTTTTATGTGGATTGTATCTATCAATATTTACCATATTAGAAGTTAAAACTAAGAAATGTCATTATATTAATAGTTTTATCACACTAATTATAATATTACTAGAACAATAATTGTTATAATAATGTATTACATATTAAATAACATTTCTATGAAAAATAACTATGTTTTCTACAATAAAAAAGATTAGTTTGGGGAGTAGCATTATTTTACATGGTTACAGGTCTCTAGTGTCTGGCTTAACAGAAGTCAGATTCTCATATCTGCTTCTGCATTCAGTCTGTTGTGATTTCACATATCATGTGGCTTTTGTCAAACTCTACAGTATACTTATGAGAAAAAGAATGAAAAAGACAAATAACATTAGTATTATTATCAATATGTTTTAGTCCTTGTGCGTCCTCTGAAAAACTCTCACATTTTCCTAGAGTTCCCTGGACCATACATTGGGAACCACTGATCTAGGGAAATCACAAATTAACCAGTCATGATTTGTGCAAAGCCCTTATATCTCTTCATCTCAGTTTCTATATGTGAAAAGGAGATACTTAAACAATCTAACTTGTAAGGTCCTTTTCAGCTGTGTAATTCTCTAATCCAAAAGATTTTCCTTCTCTTCCTTGCCTTCTCTTAACACAGCATGAGCCCCTTTAAATTTGAGTTTGTGTAGACCCAATTTCATGGGTTTCTGCTTAATATTATTCACTAACCATTTCCTTTAGCAATTCAACAAGTTTATACCTCTTTTCATTCAAAGCTTCTAGTAACATCTGCTAGGAAATCTCAAAGCTAATAAAATCTCAGTCATTTCAGAAGTCAGCCCTTTTTAAATAAGTTAAAAAGAACAACCATTTTAAATGGTCAAGATAACATGTGTGCAGGCTCTGGACAAAGGATGTAGATTTTTAGATATAGAATCTTCCTCCATTGCCTGTCCTTTAAATATTGGTGTTCTTTAGAGGTTTGCCCAAGATCTACTTATCCTCCCATCCTTCATAGTCTCTGTGGGCATTCACATTCTTCCCTATGACTTCAGGTTCCATCGATAGGATGTCTGCTTTCAAATGTGTATCTCCTTCCCAAATCATCCCCAGCACTCCTTCTGACCTGAACCTCCAGCTACCAACTAGACATCTCTTTTGGATGTGCCCAGGCATTCCAAACACAAACTAGGCGCATTATCTTCCTCCAATAACTAGGCGTTCCTCTTACATCCCAAATCTCAATAATCAACTTCACCATCCACCCAGGCTCCCAAATCAGATCTCTGGCCATCACTCAAAGCTCCTCCCTACCTACCATTCTTATTTCCAATTGAAGCCATGAATTTTTCTCTGCCACCTTCTCTCATACCTAGACTATCACATTAACCCAAATGGTTTTATTCATTCCGTTCCAGCTTCTTTCCAAACTCTTCTGTAATCCAGCTACAGTCACCCTTACATACTGCTCAGACTCTTGGAATAGCTTCCCTTTGCCTGTAGATCACGTTTGGATACCTTAACATGGCATAAACATGGCTCATCAACAGCTGCCCCTTTCCAGCCTGTCTCCTACCTCATTCACCATCTTATGGATGCAACTACACAGAATATTTTTCAGTTCCACGTTCTCTCTTAGCTCCAAGTGCCTGGAACACTGTAGGCACTTAATAAATATTCACTTAACTGAGTTGAATTATAATTATGCAAAAATTGAAAGCAGCAGTTTTTCCTTTGTGACACAAAGGAAAGAAAAAAGTCAGAAATGGTTTCCAGGTTTATGCTGTAAGCGTACATACAACAGTAACACTGTGAAGGGTGATGAGTAATTCTACTTTGCTACATCGCAGTTGGGTGGCTGTTCATACGTCCACACAGAGAAATGCATGTCATATGGCATTGCGATTTGTACTTCGATAACTGTTAAAAAGTTTAGAGTTGAGCAACCCTTACCTAAACATCTTGTAAGGGCCTTTCAAGGAGCTATCATAATTTATTCTTCTTTAATAATTATCTGTCACTTGCCTCTCTCAACAACTCTCTTTGAATTTTATCACTGTAGCATTTGTCCTAGTTCGTAGTATTTGTCCTTCCAGAACTGTATAATGAGATTTATATGTTTATCAGTACAGTAGATTCTGTATCCTCTGACAAAATTCTTGATAGATTTAGATTCCTCTGAACTAAATCGAGACTCTCCAGAATGAAAGCACGACTGGTATTGAAACTATATATTCATAATTCAATGAATGACAGTGAAAAAAAGGGTGGGGGAGAAGGAAGAGGAGGAGAAGAACAAGGGGGAGAAGGTGTAAGAGAAGGAGAACAAGGTGGAATAAGAAAGGAGGAGGAGGAGGAGAAGCAGCAACTGTTTGAGCCTTCACATCAGGGCGCTATCCCCACAGACCGGGCCTGCATCATGAGACTGGCATTATTTTCTGCCTTGTTATCAAACCGAGACTTTCCTTCCCTAGTAAAGTCTCTCTCTCAAATTCCTCCTGATTAAAAACCAAACGGAACCAAAATAAATCCCACAATCCTCCGTGCATTTGGCAGTGGAACATTACCTTTCTTCATATGGGATCCATTAGGGCAAACATCTGATGTTTGTGGTTAGGCTGCAATTTCCCCACAGCCTGTAATGGTGACTGATGCTGGCCAAAAGCCAAACGTTTCCCTGTGTAGCAATCTTAGGTTTGTGTCAACACCCTTAGAGCAAAGAGAAGCCAGTTCTGGGTCAACCTAACATCAATAACCCCTCCCCTGAAGCTGCAAACCAAAGAGAGCTCCTGCTGATAGGCATTAGGCCAACACCACAGGAAGCACAATGCTCATCGCATGTGCCTACAGCCCAGTTATCAAAACATACAAGTAAACATCTTTAGATGATGTTTAGTTTTTACCTGCTGAGAGTAACCTCCTGGGGCTAATTTCCAGTAGCTATGGACCCAAAGCCCATTACGTAAACACACATGCTTTCTATAGTAGAAATTGATTTAATATGATGATCAGGATATTCATATATTATGAAGTGTTGGGTCAAATTTTATTTAACAAACCTTTATAGAAAACCAAGCTCTGTGCTCGGCCCTGAGCAGTTTAAGAAGACTAAGGCATAACATCTGCCTGGGGTAACACACCCTCTCACAAGTGGGAAGGACATGAGTGTTCTGCGCTGGTGCCACACTGGCATTAGGTATAAGCTGGCCTGGGGAACAAAGGTGAATGTAGTTATTTGGAGAGTAGGAAAAGAATTGAGAGAACAGGTGACATGTGAATTGAACATTACCAGGTGAACAGGAGTTTTTCAAGAAGAGAAGTGGGGAAAAGTAGAGTTCTAGGTAGGGGAAATAGCACAGGACACTGGTGTAAAAAATGCACAATGCATGCCAGGAATGGTGAGATCTAGTGAGGCAGGATCACAAAGTTTGGAGAAGTAGAAGAAAAACAGATTGAAGTCAGATTACAAATAATCTTGAATGTCAGGCTAAGGACTTTATTCTTTAAGTTCTAGGAAGCTACCAAAGTTTTTTAAGTAAGTGATGCCAAAATCAAGCCAGTTTTTTAGAAAGAAGACCCTGGTGTAAGCATAGAAGGGGACTGGTTTTGAAGATATCGTAATAATACAAGCAAGCAGTTACAAGAGCCTTAACTAAAGCAGGCATACTGGGAATTAAGAGATAAAGACAAAACGTTTTTACAATAGAAAGGGAGTTGGAGGTTATTTTTAGAAAGATTTCTCTGATGCCTTGAGGAGGAAAGATTCAGAAAGAGGGTGGCTACTGAGGATTCTATAGACAAAGCAAGAGATGCTGAGGCCTGAATGAAGAGGATAGCATAGAAGGCAACAGGTTTGAGAAATGCCCCAAACGCCTCTGGGAACTACTTCAGGATCTAGGAGTCCAGGGAAATGGTCCTCAAACTGCAGTTCCCTGACCAGCAGTGTCAGCATCAGTGTCACCTGGGAACTTATCAGACATGCAAATTTTCAGGACCCATCCCAGACCTACTGAATCAGAAACTCCGGAGATGAGGCTCAGCAATCTATATTTCTAACAAACCCTCCTGCTGCCTTTGAAGGGAGCTTAAGTTTGAGAAACACTAGCCTAAGGGCATAAAGGAGATGGAGATGTCAAAAGCAAGTGAGCTACAATAGGGCTTAAAAGGCCACACTGGAGAAAGATAAACCTGAGTTCAATATTTGCTCTGCATCTTACCAGCTGTGTAGCAAGTCAGGTGACAGCTCTGACAGTCTCTGGCAAGTTACTTAAAATCTTTGAGCTTTAATTTCCTCATCTCTGAAATGAGGGGAACATACTTCTGCAAGAATTTAATAAAATAATTCATGTGCACAGTGTTCACTTCACTCACATGCATACAGTTAAAGATGATTGTTAGCAATTTTAATAAGGGCTCTAGAAAGAGCAATCATTGTGAGAAAGGAAGTTCTCTATTAGACATATAAAATAATACAACCCAGTGGTAGAATCCAGAAGAAGTCTGAAAATATGGTGTGGACCTCAGAGAAAAATTGAAGGACACACAGAGGAAGTACATAAAATATAGGCAACAGCCACCACCATGTGAGTGGTCAACATTATTCAAGAAGAGCACAGGAAATGAGAGGAAAAAAAGGAGCCCCAGCACTGAAGAGAGGGGTGGAGACAGTCAGTCAGAGACGAGCCTGAGAGAGAAAAGACAGGACAAAGGAGAACCAGGAGCCTGTAAGACCACAGGCCAAAAGGGACGTGTTAAGAAGAAGAGTGTCAACAGTCTTGAATATGATTGAGTTAAAAAAGTGACAGGTAGATAAATTAATAAGTAGATAGACAATGGATGATAGATACAGATAGATAGATGGTAGATAGATATAAATGATAGGCAGACAGATATACAGATAAATAAATGATAAATAGGTAGATAGATACATAGATGATGATAGAGAGACATATAAATAGGTGATAAATAGATACATAGATATGGAGATGATAGATATAGATGATATAGATAATAGATGGTAGATATAGACAGATAAATAGATGATAGATATAGATAGATACATAGATGATAGATATATAGAGAGTCTGATAGATGATAGATAGGTGATAGATACAGACAGATACATAGAGAGATTGATAGATGATAGATATAGATTGATAGATAAATAGATGACAGACAGATAAGGAAGGCCATTGCTTTGGGCAGTTATGAAGTGACTGGAAACGTCTGAGAAAGTATTCCTTCTTGAGTAACGGGAGCAGAGCCTGACCCTATTAGGCTGAAAAGAGAAGTAAAAGTGAAGAGCAAAAACTGACCTTGAAAAATTAACCTGTGATGGCAAGAATAAAAATGGGAGGTCAGAACATGAGCAATATCCTTAAGGAAGCAGGATGAAAGGAGAGCTCTGTGCTGCAGAAGGGAGGGATGAGGAAGGCCCAGGCACAAGCAAGTGAGAAGGGAACAAGCGAGGAAGGAGAAGCAGTGGGGCCAGACAACCCTTTCAGCTTTGAAAGGAACAGGTGCAATTTTTCTCTGAGGCAGAAAATGAATGAGTAAAGATCAAGTTCAGAGATGGAGGAGTATTGGGAAAAGTGTGAGTTGATGATGCACATTTGTGAGGACCTCTATTTTTTTTAGAGAAATAGAAGATGAATTTAGCTTCCATGAGTGAAGGTTGAAGTCTTGAGGAAAGGGCAAAAGTTTAGAACATTTGTTGTAGAAAAAGGAGCAAAATAAGAATGAGAAGGACATCGAAGCAGTGCTGCAGGTTAGCACAGAGTTAGCAAAACGTGGATTTGCTGTGGTGCTAAATACAAAATGGGTGATTATTACCAGCAATGCAAGTGTACAGAGTAAAGGTATGATAATGAGGAGGCTAATGATGGTCACAAAACGACAATACCGACAACTAGCATGTACCAAATCATTAAGGCACTTATCCTGAGCCAATGTTGTACAGTGATTAAATGAATGGGCTTTGCAGTCAGTCTTTCCAGATTTGAATCCCAGCTATTCTACCTCAAGCTACGTGACCTTAGGAAAGTTATTCAACCTCTGTGTGTCTCAGTTTTTCTCTTTGAAATGGGTATAAAAATAATAATACATACCCAATAGGGTTGTTGTGACAGTTAAATCAGTTAATTACGTAGAGCATTTAGAACAGTGCTGGACTCATAATAAGCTATGAGTTAAATGTTATACTTATTACTACAGTGTTGAGGCTACATTGAGGATGACAGAAGTTCATAAAGTTAAAAAAATCCCAATACGCAGCACATAACTACAAGTGAAATCATCCTTGAGAAGCATCAATATAACCATAGTTATATCAGAAAATCAAAAGAATCTCAGCCAGCAAACATACCTATGACAGACATCCTTTTTCTGATATTATTGAAATCCAAAAAGGCAAGCAATTGATAAGTAACTAATGTCCCCAATTCTTCTATTGTTATTGTCTCTGGGGTCCGAGACTTGAAAATGAATCCCAACTTTCTTGCAGCAGTGACTAGAGCCCCTTCATCAGGTGACTGAACTTGGTAAATCAGCTGTCCTAAAAGGAAAAGAAACAAGTGTATTACACAACCATCAAAGAAAAAAGTATATTTAACAAAAAGGAAAAGAAACACATATTCTTAATACTGAGAATCATAACTAACATTCATAGGATGCCAATAGCAACTCCAACTCACACAACACCCAACTCAAGTGTCAGCTCTAGAAATCAGACCTTTCTATGCACCAACCAGCTGGACCAGGTGTCTTTCCTGTGAGATACCACGGGACACCCATTGGAACCCTTGACATCTTATAGGGAAATGCCCACTTCTAAGTTTGCTCCCCACTATGCTGAAAGTTTCCAGGGTCAGAGCCCATACTTCTGTATTTTCAGTGAATAGAGATGTGCCATGAAAGTTTTGCAAACTTAAACACTTTATATTAATTCACATAATCCTCATGGTAGGGATAATTAAAATTATTATTTCCATTTTATACTGGTGAAACCTATGACTGAAGAGGTTATGTGATTTTTGCAAAATCATGTAGCCAAAGAATGATGGAGCAGATATTTCAAATTCCACTTCAGTCCTCTACTAATGACCATTTTATAAAAATGGACACAAGAAATCTCTTGAAACATAAGGAATCAAATCAGTACGTGTGTTCTTGATAGCGGATATTGTGTTTGTGTTGGAGTGAGGGTGGGGGGTAGAGGAGAGAAAGAGAATGGAAAAAAACATGAAAATACACTTTAAAAAGGAGTATGTATAAAGTAAGCCCTTCTATGTAAAATCATAATATTTTTTATGCAAACAAATTAGAAAAAGTTGGCTGAGCTAGATCCATATTTACTGATTCATGGCAATACCCAAGATGAAGTGTTAAGACAATTTACATATTAATGTATATATTATGTATGATTCCTTTTCATTAAAAACAAACCACCTACATATTGTATATATTCAAATCCATATATATATGAATATATGCAGTGAATAAGGGTGAAATGTTGCACACCAAATGTTACCAGTGGTTTACTTTGTACAGGTGGGATTGGAGGGCTCTAGGGAAGGAATGATTAGCTTTGCATTTGTAAATCTTTGTACTGTATGATTTCACTTGATACCATAGGTACAAACTGATTTCTGAAATTCCAAAAAGGAAAAAAAATTAAAGCAATTACTTGATCTACCTATGAAATGTTATAATAACTTCCACTTCTGGCAACATGTTGAACTGGATGCAGGACCAACCTTCCCCTGTTACAAACAACTAGAGATTCTATATAAAACATTTTCATATTTTTGAATATATCCATGAAAGAGGTACTAGCAAGAATTAGGTCAAAGACTGAAAAAAAAGAATACAGATGGAATAAAGGATGCACTGTAGCCAGCTCTTGCCTTGGGGGCATTTTCTGAGTGAGGAGAGCTTGATCATTTGTTTCCAGTCTCTCAGGGCTTGAGTTAGAGAAGACAGAGCTCAGGGTAAGCAGTCTAACTGAAGCTTTAAAACTGGGCCCCCAAAAACTACTCTCTCACAAGGGTAAATTGGAAATTCAGTACCTAGAAGGAAAATTGCCTATCTATAAGTGAAAAGAAAAAAAAAAACGTCTGCAGAAATTATATGCCCAAAGACTGACTCTCATGTATATTTTCATTTTCATCCTAAATTCAAAATATCTGGGTGATCTGAAAAAATGCAAACTAAAAATTTGGTTAGTATGTTCCTATTTAGAACACCAAGTGAGGCAAACGCAAATCCATTCTGGAGGAACCAGCCCTCACCTCAGGACCCGAAGAATTTCTGCAAATGAGGTTCCAAGTAAAATGGTCATCTCACAATGAAAAATAATCAAAATCACAACAAACAAGACACACAGAGATCCAGCAAAAAGAACAGAGAGAAGATCTGCAAAACCTTTAGATAGTGGAATTATCAGAAATAGCACCTACAAAGATTTAACAGATTTGAAGAAACGAGAGGCATGAAATTAAGTATATGTGAAAAATAATTAAAGACCTTCTAGAAATTAAAAGTTAAAAACTGCAGATTACATACTACTAGAGAAAGAATTAGTACAAGGAATGGAAAAATGAGAGATGTGTTAAAAGACATAGAGAACAGTGAAAATTTCTAACACTGAAGATCTAATATGAGAAGGAAAATGAGTCAGACAATATTTAAGAACTATATGGCTGAAGAAACTCCAGATGTGATAAAAGACAACATTCCATATGTAGATTCAAGAATATCAATTAATCCCAAGCAATAAAAAAATTTTTTTAATCCACAACTACACTTAGAACAGGAAAGCAGAAATCTGAAAAGTACCCAAGGAGAAAAGACTGATTACCTTCAAGCCACAACTAGACTGACAGCTGACTATGCAGTAATGGAAATAGCAAGCAGAATACAGTGGAATATCTTCAATGTGCTGAAAGAAAATTGTCACTTTAAATTTCTAAAAGCAGAAAAACTTCAAAAGTAAGGATGAAATTAAGGTTGTTTTCAAACAACATTTTTGAGAGTTTACTACCAGTAGGTGCTCCCTAAAAGGAATTCAAAAGATACGCTCTAGGTCCACAGAAGATCAGAGATGGGATGAGCATTAATGGGAACAGAAATTAATAAGTATATGGATAAAGTAAGCAAACACTGACTACAATAACCAAAAAAATAATATTTTTGTGGAATTAATAAAGAAAAATACATGACAAGAGCACTGTGTAAGTCAGGACTGGGTTGATTAGTTTTGTAAGGTTTTAAGGTCTTTGTTTTCAAAAGAAGGCTTAGGCTTTGATAAGTTAATTGTGCTATATTTTCTAGGCTAACAACTAAAAGAATACAAATAAGGGTCATATTATTTCCAAAGCAACAGAAGTGAAGTAGAACTAAATCCGTAAGAAGACAACAACAAAAAAAGAGATCAAGAGATATAAAGATGAGGTAAATGCAAAATACAAAATAAGATGACAGAAGTAAATTTAAATAAATCAATAATTTATATTAAGTTCTTAAAATCTAAATGAATCAACAATCAACAAAGGCAAATGGAGTAAATGTCCACTTAACCTTTAGTTTTGTCAAACTAGATATTCTTTTTAAGTGTCAAAAATTATGCAATTTATAAGAGATATGTCCAAAATATAAAGGAAAGATAGACTGGCAGAAAAGAGTTAGAAAAGTTAAACAATGCAAATACTAACAAAAGGAAAAATCTCTAACTATATTAACATCAGGTAAAATAAACTTTAAGGCAATGATATTACTAGAGACAAAGAGGATCAATATATATTAACAGAAGTTTTAATTTAAAGAAAAGATACATCTAAACTAGTACCTAACTAATAACATGACCTTAAAACATATAAAGCATTGACAAAACTACAAGTAGAGAAATGCACCATTATAGCTGATGATTTTAACATACTCTCATTAACTGAGAAATCAAATAGTCAAAATAATCCACAGAGAGGTAGAAGATTGAACAATGCATATAACAAATATTATCTGACAGATATTTTTGAATCTAGTACCCAATAACTATAGAATGAATGTACATTCATTTCAAGTCCACATGAAACATTTATGGAAATTGAATATACACCAGGCTATAAAGCAAGCCTCAATGAACTTTAAAGGATTAATAAAATGAGGCAATAAGGAAAAAATTCTAAATTTTATATCTCTTTAATTGCCATTCACTAAAATAGAAAAAAAATCCTATAGAAGTATTTGTACTTTCCACTTTCCTGCATCTGAAATTTCATCCTGCCAAGGGAATGAGATACCAACTTCCTCAAATGACTTCTCCAATAAACAAATAGCACACACTTAAAATAAAAGCAATACCCTACCCTCAATTATAAATTATACAACCATTTTGGTTAAAATTGTTAGATTTTGATTCTGTTCTTTTTCATAGCTAGCACTTATATAAGAAAAGTTTATATTTTTCAAAGTACTTTAAGCTATCTATCCTATCATTAAAGCTTTACAAGGAGATCAAATGTAATATCCCAGTACTCAGTGATGTAATTCTTCACTTGAATTTGATATCTCAAAGCAAGAGATAGAAATACTTAAGGACACAAACATCTACCTCTCTTTACTTCAAAATACCTGTACATGACTGAAAAGATATTAACCAATATCCACTAAAATGGGTAAAACGTAAGCATGATAATGCTAAATGTTGGTAAGAATGTGAAGGTACTGGAACTCTCCTACACTGATTATGGGAGTGTAAAATGATACAAGCATTTTGGGAAAATAGTTGGGTAATTTCTTATAAGGTTAAACATGTGATTTGGCAATTTCCATTCTTAAGTATTTACTAAAAACAAATATGTTAAATTTTTTCAAAGGCATAAAAATTTGATGGCATCTTTATTCATACTAACCCAAAGTTGGGAACAACCCAAATATGCATGAACAGAAGACTGGAAAAGAAAATTGTAGTATACACACAATGAGATATTACTCAGCAGTAAAAATGAATGAACTGTATGCAACAACATGCAACAACATTGATGAATGACAAAATCATTAGATTGTGTGAAAGAAGCTAGACACAAAAGACCACATATTGTATGATCCCATTTTATGAAGTACAAGAATAGGCAAAACTCATCTTTAATAATAGAAATCAGGGCAGTGGTTGGTTGGAGGTGTGGACTAGAAAGGGACATGAGTAATCTTTCTGGAGCGATGTAAAAGATTTATACCTTAATCAGGATGATGGCTACATAGTGTATAAAATCCTTGAAACTGATCAAACAATACAGTTAAGATCTGTGTGTTTTATTGCATTTAATATTTTAATATGAAAAAAATTTAGATAATACTAGAAAAGAATGCATATTGCCACTAGAAATTTGAGAAATGATTGTGAGATAAAAGATTTGATCAACAAAGAAATAAGAAAGGAGTGATACAGCTCAAACTATTAGCAAAAGAAAATGAATACTGAGGTAACAACCCCCAAACATTCTTCAAAATCAAAGTCAACAAATGAGAAGAGCGGAAGCAGTCTTCAGGCCATAAATAAAATTAGTTGAAGAATCCCAGTGAGGCATCTGGGCTCCTCCTCCTGCCTGCTTACTCTGAAGGCTGCAGTGTCGTTTACCCCTAGGATGAAACCTTGAAAATGGTCTGCAATCCATTCACAGGCACCTCAAAGATCTGAGTGCTGGAGCTTGAGACCAAAGCTAAACAGACTGAAGTAGCTTCAGAATTCCCCAAGGGTAAGAGAAAGAAAATGAGGGAAAAGAACTCCATACCTGGTATCTTCTTCCAGACCAAACCTTAAATACAACTCTCAAATGGAAATGCTGACACAGACTCCTAGCACTAAATCTAAAAAAGGAAGACAGTTAACCTCAGGTATCACATGAACTCCAGGAGGGAGGGACCCCACACTCAAAGGAGCTAAGTGTTCTGCCTCCACCCCACAATCTTGGGAAACAGGCCACTGTTATCAGAACGTACAATCACCAAGAGACTAACAAAGATTCTCAAGCACAAATAAGAATAGGCAACCACCAATCATCACACATTTGAGAACAACATGAAAATTTAGACACGGAATTCAAAATGCAGATTCCATAAAGTGAAACATAATGAAGGAAGCAAAGGAAAATTTTCAAATTAAGAATAATTAATATCTTCAAAGAGACATAAGAAAGTATCATACTATTAAAAACAGATTACTATTAAATTAAAATCGTTTGGAAATGAAGTAAACTTAAAGGCAGAAATAAAAGAAACCTATTTAATGGCATTGTGATATCCTCAGGTGAAAATACAATGTCATTACTAGCATTAGAATTATAAAGATTAGTTTAAGTCATAAGTATAATTATGTGAATCCTCACAGCAATGAAAATTAAAGGAATGGGTTAATTCAGCATCAGCAATGACAAAACTATGGCTTGAATGTAGTCCCAACAAGAAAAAAAATTTCTTTTAATATATGAAGAAATAGAAAGCATATGCAAGTATATGTATGCACATCCACACACACATATATATCACATACATATATAGATACAGTCTACAGTTGACACATATTTCACTTTTGAGTTGAAATTTCTTGTGTGGTAATTTTCACTAATAGTTGGTAGCAGAAAGAAAGAAAACTTGTAAGTGGAATGGATTGCACTCACCTGAAGCAAGAAGCCAATATACTCTGTGCCTCATCACTTCTATATTAAAGTGACCTAGCTGATTTCATCCTATTCTATGAACCTGGAGCTCTAAGCCACCATCTTACTAGTGTAAGGACTTGTTCATAATGGAGACTAAATAAGAGTATTCTACTGTCAGTGTAAATCTACCCCCATTACTGGGAAAACTCATTCTAAGGATATGCCTGATGGACATCTGCATCTGTTATGTTCATGTTAATAATAAGAGCTAAGTGCTCACATTAACAATGAGAGCTAAGTGACTCAACTGTATTGTCTTGGCTACCAGAAAGCTCACAAGTCTGCTGTTCAAGCATATGAAATATTTCATCCCCTTTAACTGGCATATTTGGGTCCCCATCTTTCCATTACTCCTATTTCTTTTCTTTTCCTGTAAGTCTCCATATTTTTTGGGAAACATTCAGGATGTAAATAAATACAAAGAAAACTAGTGATGAATAAACTTATGCAAAGCTATACTTTTAATTAGAAAATCCTTCCAGATCCAAACATTTTTAATGAAGATATCTGTTCTGATGTAAAAAACAAGCCTCGCCACTCAGACACACTTTCCACTTACCTGCACTATTTTCCTCTGACATTACAGTGTGGCAGAGAGCAAGTAACCTAAGGAATTCATGCACTTTGGGATCACCCAGTTTAATGGATTCCATCAGACGGTGGTCAAAGAACTGAAATGTTCTGTCTGCTTGGGGGTTGACTGAGAAATCCACAGGCTCTTTTTTCTGTAGAGAAAAATAACAACAAAAAATGAACTATCGTCCTCTTTCCAACAATAATCTTCTAAAATTCAAAAACACTTCCTCTAAATATTTTAATTGCTTCTATGATTTTTCAGCTTCAAATGTCTGGCACTAAAATGATTTTCTGTTTTCCATTACTGTTGAATATTATCTTCTCATTTCAGAGCTATGCACCAAAGCAGTGAACCTTTCAAAAGCATGTGAGGAACAAAAATACCCAATGGCTGTACAGATCCTCAGATGCTTATTGCAACTCCAAAATACAAAGAAGACCTGAAAACTGAAAATTTTCAAAACTGACTCGATGGCAAAGCCTGACCTAACTTGAACTCATTTGGGCAGCAGTATTTGACCTGGAATGGTATGTATCCAATAATATCTTCTGATGCAAAAATAATGTGTTTGATTACTTTCTCAGACCTCACAGGAGATACTGCATAATATATAGACAGAATTAAAATCAGGATCTTAAAGAGCTATTTGCACTCACATGTTCATTGAAGTGTTATTCACATCTCCAAGAGGTAGAAACAATGTGAATGTCCACAACAGATGAATGGATAAAGAATAGGTGGAATATACATACAATGGAATACTATTCAGTGATAAAGAAGTAGGAACTCAGTCTTTATGCTACAGCTGAATGAACCTTGAGAGTTCTATGCTAAGTAAAATAAGCCACTCACAAAGAACAAATACTGCATGATTTCACTTACATGAAGTATTTAAAGGAGTAAAACTCACAGGAACATAAAGTAGGACGGTGGATTCCAGGGCTGGAGGTGGGGGAAGTGAGGAGTTACTGTTCAATGAGTTTAGCATTTTAGTCATTCAGGATGAGAAATTTCTAGAGATCTGCTGCACAATATTTATTTTAACAATAGTTTACTTCACACTTAAAAACTTTAGTAAAAAAAAAGATGAAAGAAATAGAGCTCAATAAAGAACAGAACAAAATAACAGAAGATAATTCAATAGTAAATAAGATCCCTGTTAATGCCCTGACTTATGGAAAGCACAAAATGTACTTCTAAAAGTGTATTACTCACAGCACTAGTCCTGTAATAATGTATTTGCAAAACCAGTTGATGGGAAAATACTTTTAATATATACTTTGTCTTGGAGAACGTAGAATAATATTTTATATTATATCCAAGTATATGAGAAAACCTGTGTACAAGATATTCAGTCAGTTGTGTTTATCCCAGAATCACAGACTTATTTAATCATAGATTGTTTTGTTCATGTAATAAATTTTGAAAACAACTGCATTAGGGGGGAAAAGCTGATCAAATTCATTAATAAAGAATAAAATACACAGTGACCTTAGACTTCTCTAAACCCTCCCTGGAAAGAAACTGTGACTCAAAAAGATAATAGCCAAACGGTCATTCAAATATAAAGCCAACACATAGTTTGAACAGATATTTCTTATGAACCTTTCTTGAAATGAGAGGATGAGCTTCAGTCAAATAAGAGATAACTGGAAAAACCACTGGAAAGGACCTAGTTAGTGGTGAGTACAAAATCTCTTTAACTGAAGGACTGAGTCTAAAAGAAATAGATTAGGATGGCAAAACAAAATGTAACTATCACACACCTTGACTATGTAGAAAAGACAACTAAAAAATTAGAAGATGCTGATTCCTCATTTTAGTATTTGAAAGTCAGGAGATACAAAGATTCAAATCAACTAATAGAAATTTATATATAAATCTATATATATTTAAGATTAAGAAGTATTAATAATACTTTATAAGTTAATAAAGTAGGAAAATATGAGGAGAAATATAATAGTTTCATCATTGTTAATATTAGGAAATTGATAGACATTGCCTTTAGAAAAAAAGAATTGAGTGTTATATAAACTATTGAGAGTACACATTAGAAAAACAATGAAATACTTTTCTAAATATTACAAGAAACATACATATAGAGTCCATATAAAGAATTATGTAAAGACACAAAGTAGAACTTAAAGTATCATAATAAAACTAAGTCATAATATAGCACAATGTAGATGGCCCAAATTCACTTACTAAAACCGTGAAATGCAAAGCAAAATCCAACTCTATACTGTACACAAGAGACACACCTAAAACAAAGTAATTCAGGAACACTGAAAATCAAAGATGGGTAAATGCAAATGAAAAGAAGCTAGGAGTCATGATCTTATTATCAAATAAGGTTGAATTCAAGCCAAGAAGAATTAAATGCATCAAAGAAGAACACTTTTTTAAGTTGCATAATTCATAATAAAAATACAACCACAATAAATATCAATGTATCCCAAATGAGCATCAATACTCATAAAACAAAGATTTCAGTCTATATAAGAGCTAAACAGAGAGATTATCAGGACACTTTAATTAATTTCTTTCATCCAAACAGACAATACAGATAGAACACAAACAGTGAAATAGAAGACCTAAATAATACAATTAGTAAGGAAAAACTAAATGATAGTTAATCTTATATCTTGAAAACAGAATATGCATATGCGTCTTTTTTAAGGACCCTGGAACATTAGCAACAATTGATCATATTAAGCCACACAGAAAACCCCAATAAATTCAAAAATGTAGAAATAATACAAATCTATTCTTTTATTAAAAGTAACCTTGCTTTAAAGTTAGGGGGAAAAAGCATCTACCACTTGGAAATTTTTTAACTCTTCCTTAAAAACTCATGGTTCAATGTAGATATTCAAATTGGTATGACAAAAAATAAAGATACTTTAATAAAGTACAGGCCAAAAATCCATGTGACATACCTAAAGTATTCAGAGAAAAATTAATAACCATAGATATTTATATATAAAAAGGGAAAGAATAAAAATAAATAAGTGTCCAAGTATGAAAATGTGTCCAAGTTAGAAAACGAACAACAAAAGACAAAGAATCAAGAAAGAAGTCATTAATAAAGATAAAAGTGGAGCTTACTGATTAAATCATAGGAAAAATATGTAAATACCTTTTAATAAATATATCCAAACCTGTCCTTTTTGTAGGAGAAAGGAGCAACTGTCCAACATAAGATAGGAAAGGAAAAAGACAAACAAAAGAAAAGATTTTTTAAAAATAGCCACAGATAAAGAGGAAATTTAAAGAATCATAAGCGAGCTCTTAGCCTAACTCTCAATATGAAAATACGGAAAATTATTCTTTTTCTAAAGCAAATAACATTTGTAGCAAAGCAAACATTGAGGACCAAGGTGTCTTATAAACCCCATGGCACGTATTAAATAAAGCATTGGCAAACTGGATCCAGTAGCACATGGAAAAAACAATTTAACATGGCAAGTGACATTTGTTCCCAGAAACCACAGATGGATGATAATCTAATAGAAAAATGTGTAAAATTGAAATACATTATTAAAAATATAATAAGCCACTAAAAATATAAAAGATGTTCAACCTCACCCATAATAAGAGAAATTAAAATTAGAACCATATTGATATACCATTTTTCACATAATCTTGTCAATGATCAATACTTTGATAAAACATTGCGTTGTTGAGGGTGGCAGAAAGCAGGCCCTCATACACAGCTTATGACAGGGTAAATGGGTTTAAATTCTAAAGAGGATGATTTGGCAATATTTATCAAATTATAAAGGAACATTTTGATCTGAAAATTCCATTTCTAGAAATGGAACTTGTGGAGCATCAATTGTAGTAACAAAATACTACTCAGCCCTTTAAAAAAGTAAGGGAGCACTGGTTCTTCACTGCACTATTGAAATAGAAAGTTAAGGACAGTACGTATAGCATGCTACCACCTGGTAAAAGTGGAGAAATATATTTGCTTGTATATGTGTAAATATCTCCAAAGGAATAAAATTTTTTTTAAAAATAACAGAGGGAACTCTGTTGGGAAACCTAGATAAGGAATTTTGAACCATATGAATCTATTTTTTTTGGTGCTATGTATCATGTATCTCATTTGGTTATGGTGGAAATCAGTTCTCTAGGGACTCATCATTTTCAAAAGCATGTACAATTTGAATTTGAAAGTAAGAATGAAATTTTATCACCTCCACACCTTAGTTATGTCTGTCTTCTGACCCAGGTCATCAGGTACTTCACCTGACAAAACAAAAACTGAGATTTAAAAATAAATGAAATTGAAATGAGATGTAGACACACAGTTTTAAGGAGCACATTTATTAAAGCACCATTAGTAGATGGCATTGTAAGTTTAAACAGAGAATTTTTAGGAGTGTTTTCAAACTGTAACCTAGACATGGTGATTAACATGGAGAGATACTCATGCTTGACTGAGATAGAACTAAATGCATTAAAACAAAAGATGAAGCTCACAATAGTGTTTTTCTGTAAATTTTACCACTGCGTTGTTACTTTTTGGAGAACGTAGAATAATATTTTATATTATATCCAAGTATATGAGAAAACCTGTGTACAAGATATTCAGTCAGTTGTGTTTATCCCAGAATCACAGACTTATTTAATCATAGATTGTTTTGTTCATGTAATAAATTTTGAAAACAACTGCATTAGGGGGGAAAAAGCTGATCAAATTCATTAATAAAGAATAAAATACACAGTGACCTTAGACTTCTCTAAACCCTCCCTGGAAAGAAACTGTGACTCAAAAAGATAATAGCCAAACTGTCATTCAAATATAAAGCCAACACATAGTTTGAACAGATATTTCTTATGAACCTTTCTTGAAATGAGAGGATGAGCTTCAGTCAAATAAGAGATAACTGGAAAAACCACTGGAAAGGACCTAGTTAGTGGTGAGTACAAAATCTCTTTAACTGAAGGACTGAGTCTAAAAGAAATAGATTAGGATGGCAAAACAAAATGTAACTATCACACACCTTGACTATGTAGAAAAGACAACTAAAAAATTAGAAGATGCTGATTCCTCATTTTAGTATTTGAAAGTCAGGAGATACAAAGATTCAAATCAACTAATAGAAATTTATATATAAATCTATATATATTTAAGATTAAGAAGTATTAATAATACTTTATAAGTTAATAAAGTAGGAAAATATGAGGAGAAATATAATAGTTTCATCATTGTTAATATTAGTAAATTGATAGACATTGCCTTTAGAAAAAAAGAATTGAGTGTTATATAAACTATTGAGAGTACACATTAGAAAAACAATGAAATACTTTTCTAAATATTACAAGAAACACACATATAAAGAGTCCATATAAAGAATTATGTAAAGACACAAAGTAGAACTTAAAGTATCATAATAAAACTAAGTCATAATATAGCACAATGTAGATGGCCCAAATTCACTTACTAAAACAGTGAAATGCAAAGCAAAATCCAACACTATACTGTACACAAGAGACACACCTAAAACAAAGTAATTCAGGAACACTGAAAATCAAAGATGGGTAGATGCAAATGAAAAGAAGCTAGGAGTCATGATCTTATTATCAAATAAGGTTGAATTCAAGCCAAGAAGAATTAAATGCATCAAAGAAGAACACTTTTTTAAGTTGCATAATTCATAATAAAAATACAACCACAATAAATATCAATGTATCCCAAATGAGCATCAATACTCATAAAACAAAGATTTCAGTCTATATAAGAGCTAAACAGAGAGATTATCAGGACACTTTAATTAATTTCTTTCATCCAAATAGACAATACAGATAGAACACAAACAGTGAAATAGAAGACCTAAATAATACAATTAGTAAGGAAAAACTAAATGATAGTTAATCTTATATCTTGAAAACAGAATATGCATATGCGTCCTTTTTAAGGACCCTGGAACATTAGCAACAATTGATCATATTAAGCCACACAGAAAACCCCAATAAATTCAAAAATGTAGAAATAATACAAATCTATTCTTTTATTAAAAGTAACCTTGCTTTAAAGTTAGGGGGAAAAAGCATCTACCACTTGGAAATTTTTTAACTCTTCCTTAAAAACTCATGGTTCAATGTAGATATTCAAATTGGTATGACAAAAAATAAAGATACTTTAATAAAGTACAGGCCAAAAATCCATGTGACATACCTAAAGTATTCAGAGAAAAATTAATAACCATAGATATTTATATATAAAAAGGGAAAGAATAAAAATAAATAAGTGTCCAAGTATGAAAATGTGTCCAAGTTAGAAAACGAACAACAAAAGACAAAGAATCAAGAAAGAAGTCATTAATAAAGATAAAAGTGGAGCTTACTGATTAAATCATAGGAAAAATATGTAAATACCTTTTAATAAATATATCCAAACCTGTCCTTTTTGTAGGAGAAAGGAGCAACTGTCCAACATAAGATAGGAAAGGAAAAAGACAAACAAAAGAAAAGATTTTTTAAAAATAGCCACAGATAAAGAGGAAATTTAAAGAATCATAAGCGAGCTCTTAGCCTAACTCTCAATATGAAAATACGGAAAATTATTCTTTTTCTAAAGCAAATAACATTTGTAGCAAAGCAAACATTGAGGACCAAGGTGTCTTATAAACCCCATGGCATGTATTAAATAAAGCATTGGCAAACTGGATCCAGTAGCACATGGAAAAAACAATTTAACATGGCAAGTGACATTTGTTCCCAGAAACCACAGATGGATGATAATCTAATAGAAAAATGTGTAAAATTGAAATACATTATTAAAAATATAACAAGCCACTAAAAATATAAAAGATGTTCAACCTCACCCATAATAAGAGAAATTAAAATTAGAACCATATTGATATACCATTTTTCACATAATCTTGTCAATGATCAATACTTTGATAAAACATTGCGTTGTTGAGGGTGGCAGAAAGCAGGCCCTCATACACAGCTTATGACAGGGTAAATGGGTTTAAATTCTAAAGAGGATGATTTGGCAATATTTATCAAATTATAAAGGAACATTTTGATCTGAAAATTCCATTTCTAGAAATGGAACTTGTGGAGCATCAATTGTAGTAACAAAATACTACTCAGCCCTTTAAAAAAGTAAGGGAGCACTGGTTCTTCACTGCACTATTGAAATAGAAAGTTAAGGACAGTACGTATAGCATGCTACCACCTGGTAAAAGTGGAGAAATATATTTGCTTGTATATACGTAAATATCTCCAAAGGAATAAAATTTTTTTTAAAAATAACAGAGGGAACTCTGTTGGGAAACCTAGATAAGGAATTTTGAACCATATGAATCTATTTTTTTTGGTGCTATGTATCATGTATCTCATTTGGTTATGGTGGAAATCAGTTCTCTAGGGACTCATCATTTTCAAAAGCATGTACAATTTGAATTTGAAAGTAAGAATGAAATTTTATCACCTCCACACCTTAGTTATGTCTGTCTTCTGACCCAGGTCATCAGGTACTTCACCTGACAAAACAAAAACTGAGATTTAAAAATAAATGAAATTGAAATGAGATGTAGACACACAGTTTTAAGGAGCACATTTATTAAAGCACCATTAGTAGATGGCATTGTAAGTTTAAACAGAGAATTTTTAGGAGTGTTTTCAAACTGTAACCTAGACATGGTGATTAACATGGAGAGATACTCATGCTTGACTGAGATAGAACTAAATGCATTAAAACAAAAGATGAAGCTCACAATAGTGTTTTTCTGTAAATTTTACCACTGCGTTGTTACTTTGTCTATGATGTTTGCAAGAGGCAAATTTTTGTTTCCCTCTTAATCCTCAGTATTGAGGAATCCAAAATGATATCTTAGACCAATTTTCATCAGTTCTAGAGCTCGATGAGTACTTCTTTGTCCATACTGGTTTGGGCCAGATACATCTGTGTAATATCAAGGTCATATAAAGTTGACCATTGCTTATCATAGATACATTGGAAAAAAACAGGATGTTACAGTAAAAAAGAAATACTACTAATAGTCCCAACACCCAGAGATTACCAATATTCATAGCTACTTTTGTGTTGATTTTGTATGTGTATGTGAACACGTATTTTCTGCATACTGTTCATAAATGTCTGATTCCTGCTGTTTTTAAACCATGAGTGAGAATTTTCTCCTTTGTTAAAAGTTCTTTGTGAATCTAATCTTGAATGGTCATATAATAGCCCATGTAGCATGATTTATTTTAGCTATCCCATATTTGGAAGCTTTTAAGATTTTTCTAATTTTTGCCTGGCATTTGAAGGTTTAACAGTATTTGCCAGGACTATATTTCTTGTAATGAAAGTAAGAGTTACTTGCATCCGTCCTGTGCCAGGCACTTAAATTATCACTGAACTTCATAATAAAATCGCAAGATGAAGGTTTTCATTCCTGTTTTATGGATGAGGGAGCTCAAGAACAAAACTCAGTCACATGACCAAGCTATAACTAAAAAGTTAGCATAGTGAGTTTTTGAACTCAAGTCTCTCTCTTCTCACAACACGGTGCTATGACCAAAAAAGCACTTAATGGATAGTTCTTATTTTTCTGGGGCACAGGTCTAAATCTGAACTGTGGTGTGGCTCTGGTGTGGGGAACATCCTGAACTGGTGAATTTAAGTCTCAAGCTCGGTGTGGTTATGTTCCGGTCACTACTCCCTACACAGTAACTCTAACAAATGATAAAAACAGTACAGAACTCCATCTTTGTGTAAACGCCCTCCACCCCCAAAAAAAGCCTGTTTATAAGGTTGGTGATGGAAGTGAAGGAAAGTTAAAGAAGTCTAAAAAAATAATAATTCCAAGCCAGAAAACAGAAGATTTAGACATATCAGAATAGAATGCCAAAGTTTCCCAAAGCCTGAATCTATGATATAAATAAGACAAACTTGTACAAAGACAAGAAGTGATTTTTAAACATTTTAAGGATTCTAGTAAAAGCATATTTTAATGACATCATAAAATTGTAAATTAAGACCTAAACTATAAAGTAAGGGCTTCAAGGGGTTATTGATAAATACCTGTTACTTTCCTGCATTTGATAAGGAAAATTACAAGCTATCATGGGATTTGTAAATTTGGAGATTTGCAAACATCTTGGTACATACTTTGTGAAAATCAAAGGCCTTCTCTAAAAACAGTCCTGTGACAAACATCTCTACAAATAAATCTTGGTCCACATGTCTGGCAATTTTCTTAGGATCATTTCCTGGAAGTAATATTATTATTTTGACATTATCAATATGTGTCATGGCTCTCAGCAGAAGGAACTGTCTGCCAACTGGCCAAAGCTGGAGTGACAATGGGCACATAGAAATAGAATGCTTGGAAATCCAAATATGGAGTAGGTGTCCTGACAAAAGGGTACAAACAGGAACTGGATGTAGATGAAATCGCTTGTCTGGCCTCTCAAAGTAGCCCTGGACAGTGTGACTTCTCAGGAGCAAGCTGCAAATTCTCACAAACACAAGCACTAACATCAATCCAGCGCTGTTAGGAAACAAGTACAAAATACTGCTTTTACCAAGATAAATCAAGAGACCAAGAACGTGTCTGCCCTGGGATATGGGTCTATTAATCACCACATTGCAGAATCACACAGGTGGAGCACAGGTGGAGCACAGGTGTGGCCGTTGTCACATCGAACGCCCACCTGTACCCATAAATGGTAACAAATCCAAAGTTTCATCTAAATTATTTAACATTCATCCAACAAATATTTAGTGAGTGTTTATCATGTGCCAAGCACTACATCAGATGCTGGCAGTGCCCATTATTAATGAGAAAGCTGCCAATGGCTTGGGTTTTTTTTTTTTAAAGAAGTTGCTTATTTTTTTTAAGGGCTGTTAACAATATCATTAAGAAAAAGAAACTGTTTCCCTTACCATAGATTCTCCCGTTAATGGAACATTTATTAAAAGTCATGATGTTTTGAGTGAGAGTGCCTGTTTTGTCGGAGAAAATATATTCAATCTGGCCCAGTTCCTCATTGAGCGTGGTTGTCCGAGCTTCAGCAGGTGTAGCTTTTCCAGAGTAATACATCTTCCGATCCCAGTTTATAAAGTAACTGTGTCCCAGGCGAATGACTTCCACGCTTTGATCCATTAAAATGGGGGAGAGGAGGGAAGCAATACTCCATCAATTTCAGAACATACAAAGCTTTGCCAAAGTAAGAAGTCTGCCAAAGTCTTCAGAGTTTAGAATAAAATCTGGATGGTCTGTCCCCAGGTCCTAGTGACCTTCAAAAGCATCTCAGCAAAGTCTGCTCATAAAGTTTTCTAAGTCATTTCCTCACAACACCGTGAAACAACAAGCTGGCTTTGCATAAAGCCTTAGGGAATGTTCCATGGTTCTCTATTTGCAAGAAACAGCCCCAGTGGAGATTTCTTGTGGGGCATATTAGTTGGCACCTCTCCTATATCTTATAAGAAACTCTTTTTAAATATGTTTGTCAGATGTCTAAGCTAAAGAAATGTATTGTTGAGGACTTTCTCTCCAATACACTGTTTGACGTGGCTTCATTTGCCAAAGGAGGCAAAAAGTAGTATCTCATGATTCCCTAAGCAAACCATAATAGATATGGAGGAAAAACAGGGGTTGGCTGCCATATTGTTCTGCCCTTTATCAGGAAAAGTGTGGTCTCGTGATCTCGTGGAGATTTATGACTTTCCAGCTCTGGAAGTGGAATTTCTGTGGCCATGGGTATGAACTTTTTTCAAACTTTGTCATATACAAAGCCAACTCAATTTCCAAAAAGGTTAGGAAAATTTAAGTTTCTACCACTAGATTATTGAAAATTATCCTTTACTATATGCCAAGGTAGATGGCATTTCATTACTATTTTTTTGCTGCACTGCTTTTCTTCTTAGTGAGTTGAACTTTCTTTTCAGATTTTATTGGCCAGTTATGTTTCTTCTCAGAATCATTTAATTGTGCTACCTGCCTATTTTACCTTTCCATGTCAGATATTAGTGTATTTCTTATTGATTTGTAATAATCACATATACATTACATAAATTTCACCCAATTTATCAGTGGTCTTTTCATTTTGCTCTCACTATTTTTGACATGAAGAAGTTTCCTCTTTTTAATCAGTCACATTCATCAGTAGTTATAGTTTCTGTTTTGGGAGTTTTGTTTGGATAAGTCTTCCTTATGCCAAGATTATATATACAGATATCTGTATTTTTCTTCTAGTTCTTTATTGACTTTTTTCCACAGTTAATTCTTTATCACAACTGGAATTTTTTGAAGTATGATGTAGATGAGGACCTAATTCAATTTTTATAAACAAAGTTTTTTCACCACTTATTGAACAATGACTCCTTTCCCCTATTTTACAGGGACACTTCCATATCACATATACATTATTTTCCTCATGAGGATCTGTTTTAGGAACCTCACTTTTGTTCCTTAATATGTCACTTAATGCATCTCTTATTTTCATTATAAAATTTGGCAATTCCTGGGAAGAAATAAGAGACTTTTATTTTCTTCTTTTCTAAAAATTCTTAGCTATCACTCATTTATTCTTCCTGGTAGACTCACAGTACATATTCATCTAAATGGACTTCAGAAATCAATGTATCAGCTTTCTCCTAAAATTTATTTGGGACCTTCAAGTCTATGTTAAACTCTTAATCATTAGAAAATAACTCATATTTTAATACTTCAGACAGGATAAATATTTCCAGGAATTCCGTTTTGAAAAGCACCTCTATTTGTAAACGGCCTTCCTTCCATGTGGTTTTGCTTTGTTTTCTACATAGGTCCACACCATAGCTTATTAGATGTGTTCCTGAAGATTATGTATTTTTATTGATGGGAGAATTTTCTGACTTGCTGCTACCCTAAAAGTGGGTTTTTTTGTATTAAAAGTTTTTTTTGTATTAAAAGTTTTTTTGTATTAAAAAATGTGATTATGTCATAAAGTCAGACATTTCATTGAATTACTAATTTCATTTCATTTCATTTAACTCTCTTACTAAAAGAGTTACAGATTTATTCTTTCAGATTTTCTAGGTTCATAATCACATTGTCTGTGTTCTTCCTTCATAATCAGCTTATTTCAGTTTTCTGTCCCATTTTGTTCATTGATATTCCAGTCGCACATCTCAGGACATGAGCACAGACATTCAGGGTAGTATAAAACAGCAACAATCAGAGCAGGGAGCCATAGTTTATTTTTTATCTTAATGGAATTAAGCTTTGGTTTTCCCATCTGTAAACTGAAAAGTTGACAGTGGCCTGATATGCTAACTCTGAACATTTTCTCCTTGAAGATAAAGGATGACACCTAAGTCCTTTCTGGGCATTAATTCCATACTCCTAATTCTGTAAGTACAAGACATCTACATTTCTCTCCCAGAAGTGCTCAGGTGCCAGTTCGTTTTCTAACTATTTAAATGGTAATGCTTTTTTTCCATCTAAACCAAAAATCACACTATGACTCTATAGAATCATACAATGTAAAAATAAATATGTCATGCTCTGCATGTTTTCCTGTTCTGCTTCACTCTTCTGTACCCCCTTCTTGTAAGTTCTTTATTAGTTGCTCTATTTCAGCTTTGTTTTTCTTATTCCGTTCACTCAAAACACACTAGCATTTATAATGTACCAGGCACAGTGCCTAACCTGTCATAGGCAGTCAGTGTTGAATGAATGAATCCTGACCCTCTATTCCCTAATTTCACCAATAAGGACACTAAGACCTAGAGAAATCAAATGACTAACCCAGGGTCACACAAATTATTAACAACAGAACTGAGATGAGAATTCAGGCACTTGGTAAATCCACTGCAGACCTGACCTTAGGAATGCCATAATGACTGTATAAATCACTTGGAGCTTTCATTTATCTGAAAGCAAAGCAGCTCCCTGAAAACTCAAAGCAAAATGAATGGAACAGAATTTGATCCTCCTGTGTTGTAGTAGAAGCCCATGGAAGTATTCTAAATTAATTTGAATTCTTAAACCTTAAAATAGTCTATAGAGAGGAAGGGTATCCTTTTTGTTTGGGAAAAGAGGATTTAGGAGAGTCACAGTGGACCATTCAGCCCTTTGACTTATAATAGCAGAGAAAAGGAGACAAATGTTCAGAGTTAGCATAATCAGGCTGCTTAGTGTTTTTTGCCTGAACGCTCAAAGAGCAGGACTTATGATTCCATCCATTCTGTGACAAAACAAGCAACATGGAAATGAATTCCTCTTGCTTTGGAAAAAAAACTCAAAAGCTAATTCCTTGCGAGTACAACAGCTGCATTTCTTAAGATGATGTATTAAAAAACTATAGCTGGGTATGTTTTAACGCTACAGATTAAACAAATTGACAGCAAGAAATGTCCAACCAAAATCAATGTCCTTTGGTCATGTAGAATTGCTAACCAGTCAAAGAAAATTCTGCACTTGTATCTTTAAGTGGCATCTGACACTAATTTATTCTTTGTACCTATTCAAAAACCTGAAAGAACCTTTTGTAAAAGGCCTTCATCCCTACAAACAGAAATACCTAGGAGTTCTCTTTTTCCAGGTCTCAGTCTTCAGGACTGAGCAACCTGAAATCCCTTGGAAAGCTTTTTCCCTCAAGTTGAGATCAGAATAACGGTTCTTATTTGGTTAAAAGCTCATATTTATCTGCATCAACACTATGTCTTACCAACAGGTAAAGAACTCTAGCGTCTTTTTCCCTCTCTTGAGGTCTTCGCTGAGTAATAAACCATACACAGCTTAGGTACAGAGGGAAGACACTGTACCAAACGTCAGCAGGCTTGGGTTTGGATCTTGGTTCTGTGCCTAACCAGCTCCAGGATCCTTTCACAAATCATATTTGTGAAAAAATTCAACAATAACTACTTCATAAGATTGTTGGGAGACATAAATGAGATAAAGAATGTAAAAGCACTTTACATAAATTTTAAAATGCTATCTAGAGGTAAGGTGGTATTATTTGGAGGAGAAACAAACTCAGAAATAAATCATTTTAATGCCCTCCTTTTACTGAGCAGTACATATTTCATGTGTGAAGTAAGGCCCAGGGAAGCCAAGTGCCTTCTCCAAGGTCACACAGCTATTAGTGGCAGTGCCAAAACCAGAGCCTGAGTTTGGACTATTCTAATAGGGTTTTCTTTCCACTACTGCAGGAGACACATTAGAGAGAAAAGGAATGCTAACCTGGGAATCTAGCTTTGGTGTCTAAAAAAAACCAATCTTTCAAACCATTAAATGCAAAATGCCAATGCACTTCAAAGAGTACATACCGAATACACTCCCTTCATGAGGACATGTGAAACTGCACATGTTCAGATGGTAAGCCACTATGAGCATTTATGATTCATTTAGGACATAAAAGGAAAGCTGTAAAAACTGACAATAGTTCTTCTGGCAAAGAGTAGGATTTACTACAGACTTCATAATTGGATACAAGCATGAGAGGCCCTCAGAATCAAAGATGAGCCAGTAGAATACAGTTTGAATAGAGCCCACTCTGACCACAGCTCCAGAAGGCCCAAAGCAATTTGTGGTGTTGTGGCCACATGCCACCACTTCAAGTCAATTTCCCACAACTTGACATTTCAGTTTCCTGACTGCTATCCAAAATAAGGGTAGATTTTGTGCATTAGACTTCCCTTTCTTCATCATAGCTAGGATTTTGGAAAGAGAGAAAAAGAAGTTCATAAAAATTAGCAGGGATTTAGAGCTGGTGATTTTGTGTGTTGTTCAAATACTGCTGATGAGGTATGTCATACAGTCAACACTCATCTTGGCCCCAGTGTCTTTGGGAGGGTCTAGCTGCCTTGGTAAGATTAGGATCAAGAGTGTCTCAGGTACAGACTCTAGGGCCAACTTCTAAGCCTTCTCAAACACAAACACACACACATACATACGTGTGAGCATACAGAGAGGTGTGTGCTTGTGCGTGTGTGTGTGTGTGTGTGCATGTGCATGACAGACAGAGACCATTTTAGCTCTAGCATGCAGGACCAAATCTAGAAATGAGAGATCAAGTTGTCATGGAATTATGATTCATACCTCTTATTTAACAATGGACAAATACTAACTGTATTACAACTCCTTTATACACTTACTTATAGTTCCTAATAATAACGGGAAAAAATAATATTCATTAAACTCTTACAAAGGGTCAGGCATTCTTCTGAGGGCTTTACAGGTTTGTTTACTGCTTATACAATCCTATTAAGTAGAAATATTATCTCCTCTGCTTTTTAAATGAGGAAACTGAGGTGCTACAAGATGAAGTAACTCGCTCAACGTTATGGAGCCAGTGAGTTTTAGGATAGGATCTGATCCAGGAATCTGGAGCCATACTTGTGGCTAGGAGGCACTGTCTCGATAGGTCTCCCCAGACATTCTTCCATCTCTTACCCAACAACATCAACCCAATTGTAATTGACCAGGTTTCATGAGATTATACTGTAGTCCATGTATGCCAAAGAAACACATTCCTAAGAAACCAAATCAAATCAAGGAGAAAATAAAAATGCATTTATTGTTATTTGAAAATGTAAGATTTTAAGATTAAACAGCTTAGTTCCTTCATTTGAGAGAGAGAGCAGATCATAAGCAGTTAAAGCAAGACATCTATCTCCATTGTAATCTTAAAACAAACAAAAACATTACTTTTTTTTGAACAAAAGCTTTTGACAAAGTGGTTTCACTTAAGAATAAACTCTCATCTTACCTCACGTATAATGAAATGGGTACAACTGTATTAAGAATAATAATGTATGACCAGAATGTTAGGAATCCTGAGAATAGAGAGTTCTTCTCTCCTTCATTCAAAAAGAGGAAAGTTCTGAATTGGCCCCCAATTTGATTCTCCCAGATTGAATTTCCTATTGCGAGAATAATTCCCAAGCACACCAGAAACCCAAAAATCTGAAATAAGAACAGAAGTCTGGTTAAGGTTAACTTGAACCCAACACTAGTCATATCAATGCAATCTAATTACACTTCTAAATCAAAGAAATTTTCATTTCCAAAACAAGTTACACAAAGCTCTTCTTACTTACCATCAATCACATGAGTAAAATTTTTGTATGCAGAGAACTCAGTTAAGTATTTGACATGAATTTTCCCACTTAGTTCTTCTACTGACTCTCTCAGATAGGAACAATCACTACATACTTACAGATCAAAAAAAAAAAACAAATTCAAATGGAAACACAGAAAAATTACATAATTTGTCTGTGGTCACAAAGCCAAAACTTGCACATTATTGATGTATTAGGAGTGCACGTATTTAAATGGCCTAAGTCGTGAAGCATAAGATCGTGTTTCGTGATTTGCCCTGGCCAGCCCCAGTTCACATCTGCTATTCAGGTGTGATGTTCATAGTGTTCCTTCCTTTCACCTTCAAAAATGTCCTGTTTGAATGATAAGTTACATGGTCACCCAAGGCAGAAATGCAAAAGGAATAAAATATCAGTAATAAAGAACTGACTCAAACTACTCAGAGCTCCTGGCTCCAGAACTAGCTGCATGATCCTTACTGAAGTTCAACAAGAAAAATAAGGATTAGTTAGAGTACTATATGATGTATATACTTCTATTTTGAGAGAAAAAAAAAAAAAAAAGTGGAAGGCAACCTAAGAACTGTTAGCTGGCTCTTACACTGATTAGTACCGGTTTAGCAAAGCAGACATTTTGGAGGTACTGCAGCTAGAAAGAGAGCAAAGTCAGTCCCTTGTGAGGCCAAAATCCCAGCCTTGGAAAGGAAGGACACAACAGTAGTGAGCACGTAAGACCTGAGTTCAGATGGTGTTCTGGGACTCTGCTAAGTGTGACCCTGTGTTGGGAGCAAAGCAGTTGCTGTTGAGGAAAGCGTGGGGCTAGAGAACAGGTATTATTTCCTTTCTCCTCCAAAAAAACGCTATCCAGGCATTCTAGGACTGCTTTCATCTTTATTTGTGCATGAACAATACAGACGCATAAGAAGACAATGTTGGGGAAAGCCTGAATTAAAGTATATTAGAAAAACATGTATTAGAGAAAAATAGAATTGTGAATTTCTAAATCCTACTGATTCAATACCTATATCACAGTATCCTCTTTTATTTCAAGAGCTGATACTATAAATTAATTAAATTACTTTGAAAGCATGATACTTGGCATTAAATGCCCTAATTTAGGATGGACTCAGCTTCTAATTTCCCAGTGCATCATTCAGTTTTCTAGTATGAAAAACTGAGACAGTGCCTGCTTCACAGCGAGTAATTTTACTGTGTGGCGGACACATATCCAATCCCTGAGCAAGCCCTGTAAGTAGGCTCAGGGCCATTTCAATGGGGAATGCTGGGAAGAGGGCATGGCTCCTTGTGAGTGTGTCTTGTGGGCCCCCTGGACTCTGCCCCCAGGGAACAGGTATAGCAAAAGGAAGGCCTAGGTCTGAGATACTAAAAGTACAACAGCTGGCCAATACTTTGTGCCCAAGAAGGGTTCATTTCCTCATTTTTTTTATCAGAGTCTCCTTATCACATACCAGTTAAGCAACTAAATATTGAGCTCAGATTCTTTATAATTGCTGTGATGGAGCAGGTGGGGAAACATGATTCAGTCGTGGTCCTCATATTTTACAATTCCTCACACTTAGCCCCAATATCAGGAGGCAAAGCAACATTACACAAAAGTCAGATAACAATCAAATCCACAGCATGAGGCAGTACAAGGTTAATCGACAAAGGGTGGATGCAACGAATGCCTGACTCTTTTTGGTAAATAGGTGGTAGAAAACATGGTTCCAAAAATTTCAGAGGAGAAAAAAATGTCAGAGATAGGAGATAAGCACAGGCTAGGAAATTTACAAGACTTTATGCAGGGGAACTGTGACTTGGGCCTCAGAGAACTCAAAAGCAAAACCAGCTCCATAATTTTTAGGACCTGGTGCAAAAGAAAAATGTGGGGCCCTTCTTCAGAAATTATTAGGAATTTCTACATAGCAACAGCAGATGAAGAAGCCAAGTGTGAGGCCCTTGTGAGTGGGGGCTCTTGTGACTGCCCAGCTCACACATCCATGAAGCCAGCCCTGTCCATAAGCTATGCAGAGAGGAAATGAGCAAAGGTAAGACAGCGGAAAGAGTAAACTACCTTAAAAATTAGGTTTTGTTTTTTAAAAATAAATCCTTGGAACATGGAGAACTTGCAAGACTGTGGAGACCTCCACCAGCACTCTTATCTCTCCAAAGACACTACCAGTGGTTAAGAAATCATAATCTAGGAAGTAGAGGGAATTATATATAACTGGGCACCAGTGCAAAATCTCCAAATACTAATTCTGCAAGGTGAATGTAGATATCTGAAAGAGCTCCCATCAGAATATAGGAAATATATTAAGATACCAGTAACTGGAGATATTGACCAATTTTGTTATAGTAACTCACCCATATTACTAGAGTATTCATCAATCTATCAATGCTTGTCCTCTTAAAATTTGTCTTACCACTGTTCTGCATTAATTTAGTGTCAGGACCTGCAAAAAAAAATGAAATAACTTTGAGACAATTAGCTACTGTATTATTATTATTATTATTATTAACTCCTACTCATATCAACTGTTCCTGAGAGGAAAATAATGTGTCTTTCAAAATAATTTAACTTTTGCTAAGAGCAGGGGTCTTTATTTAGTTGTATATGAGTCTCAACTGTTGGCTTGATAAGAACCCTAGAAACTGCAAAAGAATTGGTCTCCTTAGAAGAGGATAAATCCAAAACAGAACTTGTAGCTGAAAGGTTTAAGAAGTTCTGTTTTTCAAAAATCTGGGTTTCAGTGTGCTTATAGTTTGATGCAGTTAAAGATAATGAAATCAATCAAAGTAAGGAATAATTTGAAAATGTTAAGAAGAACATGTAACAAACACAATTGAGAACACTAAGGTAAAAAATGTAAAGTTAAGGTAAGAAATAAAATTCTGGATCTGTTTCCCAAAAACACTGATTTCCTCTTAAAGGAGAAACTAGAAAAACTTCAAAGAAAACATTAGGAAATAAGTTAAACCTTTATCATGTATTGCACACTATGTATATTATATGTACTTTTACTAAGGGAAAGAATTGTCTTAACTCTTGTGTTAGATTTATTTCAGGTAAATACATTATCCTATGATATATTTACAAAGTGCCTTGTTCAAGGAATTCTAATATTAATAAATGCTTTAGAGGTAGATCATTAGACGATTAGCAAAGGAGAATGTTAGCATCTATTTGTAGTCAAAGAAGATGCTAAATAGAAGTGATTAAGTTTTAATTACATCTGAGTTCTTCAGTGTTCCCTCTCCACATCATCTTCCCATGATTATCATCAGTCCACAGAGTCATTTAACATAGGAAGAAAGGGGAAGTGAAAGAAAAAAGAGAAGAGAGGCAGACATGAAATTATATGCCATTCCAGAAGTCAGAGAAGAATGGGCATGTCCTTAAACGGTTTCCATTTGCTTAAAAGGCAAATTGAAGCAAAGACTGGGGTCTCATAACAATTCATCGTCTTAAGTTAAATATTGTACCCCAGTGACCTATTTCCAACCACTGCTATGTAAAAGAGACCACCCACATTTTCTCAGAATCATTTATGAAAATCATATGGACATCGAGGATGGGAAAAACTCCTTTTATAGTAAAGATCCCAAAGAGCAAATAAAGTTTGTGATTACTAAAAGCTGAAAATATTGACAGACCAGTTTTGTATGAAAAATCTACACTTCTTAGGCATGCATGCACACACAGCAAAGAATCCACTTAATGGGTCTTTAAGCATATAATTAATCATATCCACAGATGTGCATACATACAACTCTTCTTGATGATAAAAGAATTTTCTATACTCAACAGCCTGCTTCCTCATCTCCTGCTCATTACTCAACCTAGTTTGTGGACCAGTCCCTCCACCAAACACATCTGGTGGTCTCATCAGGGTCCTCCGGGCCTCCTTTGATGGCTCACCAGCCTTTCACACTGTTAAGCATGCCCTCAGCTTCTGTGCTACTGTGCTTTTCCTCCTGTCTCCTTGGTAGCCCCTTCCTTGTCTTCCATGATGCCCACGCTCCTTTACCCAGTCATTAAATACTGGAATTCCTTAAGGCCCAGGCATAGGCCATCTTCTCTTCTTTCTCAACCCACCTTCCCTAGACAATCTCATCTAAGACCACAAATCCAGTTGCCACCTATGGGGTCAAATGTATATCTCTGGCTGAGATTGCTCCTCTAAGCTCTAAACCCATATATTTAAATTCATATATTTAACTTCCTATATGATATCTTTACCTGCTTCTTTCTAAGGCCCCTCAAATGGCCTTTGTCCAGCCTAGCTTATGATCTTCCTCCTAAGTTCCTTATCTCAGTGAATGGTACCACCATCCACCTAGTTGTGAAACAGAGAGAATCCCAGGAGTCTAGTCTATCTCCATGACTCCCACCCTAACCCAAAGTACCATCATCTCTCAGCTGGACTATAACAAAAGCCTAGTTACTTTGTCTCCCTGCATCTACTCTGCCCCCAACTTTAATCAATATTTTTCCTCCTCCCCCACCTCATATAATCTTTCCAGTATCTGCTATTTACCAACTTTAGGAACACCATAGGCAAGAGTGAACTTTTCCAATTTAACACCCACACACCATCTGTTTGAAAAACTTGCAATGGCTTTTCAATGTTTTTAGGATAAAGACACCAAAATTCTGGATACGCACAATAAGATCCTGTGCAGTCTAGCCCCTATCCACATCTCCAGGCACATGTCCGTCTCTTCCCCCCGTGCTCTCCATGCTCCATACTGGCCTTCTTGAGTTTTTCTTACCTCACAATCCTCCCTCCTGCCATAGGGGCTTTGCCCATGATATACCCAGTAGCTAGCTTGCTCTTTCCCATCATATTCCTCCATTATAAACTGTTATGAGTCTATGTACTTTTTCTTCAGAACACTTAACATCAGTTTGAGATTATATATTCATTACTAAATTATTTGAGATTTTTTCTCTTCCTACCAAATTAAAAACCAAATGAGTAAAGGGACTGTAATTTGTTTTTGCTCACATTCTTAATTGCAAATGAGTATAGCATAGTGACTGTCACACAGTAGATACTCAATAAATAATCGTTTAATGAATCAATTTATTAAGCACCTGCTATGTTTTAGGCAATGTGTATATGTGCTTTTCATTTATTATCTCAGCTAATGCTTACAACAAGCCAACATATCAGGTACTGTATCCTTAGATCACTAATAATGAAACTGAAGCAAAGAATTTAAGTAATTTCCTTGAGAGTTCTTGCCCAGCAAGAGTCAGAAACAGAATTTGAATCCAGATATATCCAACTTTAAAGCCCTCACTCTAAACCAATGTTTTTAAAACTATATGAAATAGTCCATTAATTAACTGATTCACTCAAATCAACGTGTATTTAAGACTATGACTCATCAGAGTCCAAACAGGAAATAGATGATACATTGAACAAGGATTATTGGAGGAAAGTTTTTTTAATAAAGGGACTCTTTACAAAAGTGTGGGTGGGTATATAGAGGAAGCAAAATTTTAATGCAATAACCAAGGACTTAGTAGCAATCAAGACGTTTCTCCATCAACTCTGATTTGATTGACTGATGAAACTAAACATTCGTCTGCCTGGCATTATTCCGGTTAAGCTTTCTATTAACATTTGTGCCTAAAGTCAATGCAGGCATGCTCTGTTTTCCAAATATCTGCCTCGTGAATGTCCCTTGCCAGTGACCATCTAGGCTACAACACAAAAAAAGAGGATGTTCCCCCAGAGCCCCCATGGCAAGATCCAGAGAGCAGTACATTTTCCCATCCTTCAGCCTATGGAACAGACAATGCACTCTGAATTCATGCTGAAGGAAGGGAGAAGAAGGGAAGGAAGGAAAGAGTATTTGTCAAGCATCCTCTTCCATACGCATTGCCTCATTGATTTACAGTGACTCTGATGTATTCACTGTTATCCCATGTTACAGCAGAGGAAATGAAAGCTTAGGAAGTTTGAGTAACTAAGGCTTAGCATCCTGCAGCTGGTAAACAAATCTGAACCTGGATCTACCCAATCCAAATTCTGTGAACTTTCTGTTATACTTGTATGGAGTGAGACTGTTCAACTTACAACCCCATTCCCTTCTATGTAGGAGCGTTTTCCCACAGAGCCAACCTTGTAATGGAAAACAGCCCCTGAGGAGCTCAAAGAGCTATCCTAGCATAACATGCTGCAGCTGAACCATGGTCCTGAGTTAGTCATTCCAAACAAGATCACACAGATACAAACAAAATTTGGGACTACAGCTCATTCTTAGGATGAAGTACCCCCATTTTTATGATGACAGAGAGCAAACCAGGAGGATTCATCCCATCAGAGGAACTTCAGGCAGTCTCCCCTTCATTAAGTGGGAGGGTAAACGGAGGTTAACATATAACCCAGCTCTCTTTTTCTCAGTTCAAGAAAGATGCTAATAAGAAAATATATGATTATAGGTTTATTTCCCTGACTAAAGAAAAGAAGCATCTGATGAGAGAAATATAAAACCAGATTCATCCCCAGATAAAAGCACATATACTGCCTCAGTTCTAGGGTTTTCCCAAGTCCTTACAATGGTGGTGCCCCAAGCCTCAAGAGCCATGCAAACCCCCACAGCTGAGAGTATTTAGGAGGAACTGGGAGGGGTGTTTTAGGTCTGGAACACTGTTAAGTCTTCAATGAACATTTTGATGGCATTGAGGAAAGTCAGCTAAGGAGAACATTCTGATTTTGATCACATAAACAGTTGATGCACCCAAAACACATCTTAATTTGGAGTCACAATAAAAAGGATTTTTAAAATCTAGGACTGGCAATTGAAGCCATAAGTACAACTTGAGAGCAGCTTTAGGAAATGGTGTTGCTGTAAGCATCCTCAGCAAGAGGTGCCACCCGGGGCCAGCGGCGATAGAGAAGAGACAGACCAAGCGGCCAGCAGGAAGAGGAAGAGGCCGTCCCTCCCTCCCCCGATTCCCAGCCCCACTTCCTTCCTGCAGTCTTTCCTGGCCCGCCCCTCCCAACCCCCATCCCTCCACCTCCCCTGTCCTATTGACAAACAGCAGAAGCAGTTGTGAGGTATAAACAGAAATGATTGCAGGATTTCCAAGAAGTGTTTTCCAAAGCACTGCTTGACCTTTGAGAACTACAAAATAAACAGCAGAACAGGGGCTTTCTTTCATGCTCTTCCCCCACTGTAAAGGCAGGTTGATTCATACATATAATGATGGGGATGGTTGAGATGGGTTAACGAAAGAGAAATTGAACAGTAGGTATCTAACCCCCACCAAGTAATTAAGGCCCACCCTTCAGAATAAGGTCATGATGTCTTGTCAGTGGTTCCTCACACAGTGGGGCCACACATTCTGTTCCCAGAGCAGCAGTGTCTTCCCCAGGGGCCCTGTGCTCTGCAGTGCCAAGAGTTGGCACCTTGTAAGGAATGAAAGTACTGTGCTCATCCCGCCTGGAGAGCCATGGACGCTGCCCACGCACGTCTCAGGAAGCTCTCAGGACGGACCCCAGGCAGGCGGCCCTACCCGCAAAAACAACCATTCCAAAGCACCAGCTGGTGTTTCTCAGGACGCAGCCCCTCAAGATGATCTTCTCGTTGTTGAGCGAGTGTTTCCCGCCCTTCCAAGAGAGCATGCCCGTGAACTTATCCAATTTGTTGTTGGGTGCCTCGCAGACAACAATCCCTGTAAAAATAAAAATAAAAATAAAAATAAGAATAAGACACCTCTTTATGACTCACCTTGAAGTCTCTTCAGAAGTTCACAGGACTGTGTTACCCCCTACTTCTCCAGACAGGGCATTTTTCCTTTTCTTTTAGACAGCACAATGTGACATATGCCAGACTGCTAGGAAAAATAAGCTGGGGCACAGTGATGGACCTCCATCACATGTTTTGAACGTAGCTTTCTCTGTCCAAATAAGAGCAGAAACCTTGAGAGCCATGAGAGTTTTCTTCCTAAAAAAAAAGTCACTTATCTCTGCTTCAGTTTTTTTTTTTGAACAGATGATTTTTGAACAGATGAAGCAGAGACTGTCCTTAAAGCTTTTCTTATTCCACCTCTTTTTACCTAATGTGAATTTCACACAGGTTAGATGGCATCCTTCCTGTTTTACAACCAAAGTTAATCAGGTCTCATAATCAGAATTTCGGGGATCCTACTATGTCTCCCCCGAGGACCCTGGGCCTCGTTTGCCACATGTGCCAAGAATGCGTGTGGTCCCTTTCAGCTGTTCTGCACTTCTTGGTTCAATTCAGAGTTTTGGGGACTCTCAAAGGTGCCATGAAACTTGCCCCAACCTGGCCAGAAGATGTCCTCAGTTTTTTTTTTTTAATTCCAAGCCCATACAAAACCTAAGATATGCCCATTCCAAATCAATGAATCTATTCATTCCATTATTTCAGTAAGAAAATACAGTTTCAGGGGGCTGTCTTTCTTGACAGAAAAAGAAACGAGAAATAATCTTTTTTGGCCCCTGCCGCAAAATAGAACTATTAGATTAAAATACATTTTCATTGCAACCAGTTGGGGTAAATTTTATAAGTAATGAGTAGAAAGATGGGACAGACAAAGGGAGAGAGGAAGGAAAAGAGAGAGGAGAAATGGAAAAGGAGGTTGTGGGCAGATCCAAACAGGGTTCAAGCCAGAGTCAGGGGTGAGATTAGTAACCTACAAAGTTCTCCCTCTCAAAAACAATAAAAACACATTTATTTAGTCAAAGCCAAAAGGGCAGGTTGGAACGTTAAAAGTGACATTTGGAAGATGAGAAAAGGAGGCATGACTTCAGCATTGACCGACGGGAAAGGAGACCAGCTTCGCCAGGGAGCTTCTGGGTTATGCTGTTAAACCACTCAGCGAGCTTCTTCTGACCTCGGGGGCTCCTTGCGTGGCTCCTTTCCTTCTTAGGGGGATATCTTTTCCTTTTAAAATTCTAGACATAGGTGGCAACAGCCAGTTTTCACATGGTCTGATCACTCATGACCAACCAGTTTACTGATATTAATAGACCTTGCTGAAAAAGGAAACAAAACCCTGAAAGGAATGAGGGATTCACAGCCTCGGACCACTCTTCCCAACTCCATCTCCCTTTCCCCAGCGTAGCAGAAGAGCTGCCTAACAGCCCCAACTGGAGCGCTCAGTCGGCTTCCCAGACGCCCCCTGCTAAACAAGAGAGTCCTTGACAAGAGTCCAGGCAGGACGATTTTCATGAGGCTCAATAACCTGCACAAAGTCATTGCTGATACAAGGAAAGTGCCTGAACTCTGGTTGCTCCGGTTATGGCCTATCACTGATATTAAAAAGTACATTGAAACTGACCCAAGTTGTTCGGACAATTAAGTTAGGAAGAGGAGACTTTTACTAAATTCTAAGAACTCAGTATCTCCAGTGCTTGCCCAGTAATCTTCATTTCTGAATTTTGTAGACCTCTGAATCGAGTATCACCAGCAAAACCTACATAAAATAACAGGTTGACAGCAACCCTTAAAGCTTATTCCAGTTTCCTGACCCAAGACTCCATTTCTCAGGCTTCAAACTTGGCCACTTAAAAAAAAAATGTGTTTTGGGCAAAAACAACATGATACACAGTGCCTGCCAATAGGAATATAAAAAACAGGCTCATTTGATCATTTTTATTGTTGCAAACAAAGACTGACATGGAGGCAAATTCAGCCTTGTACGGGTTGGCTGGCTCCTCCCTGGCCCCAAGGCTCATCCACTTCTGGCCTGACACCCTGGGTGTGGTTCTAGACAGGAAGAGGCAGTAAGTCCAAGGGATTCTGCCTCAGTTCTTTGGGGCCAAGCCCCAGTTCATCCTTTCTCAAAGAGTGTGGTCCCAGGGTTCCAAGAGCTAATCCTGGTCAAAACAAAACGGTGGGAACAAAGCCAAACTACATTTTTGATCTTCAGAAATGCTCAACTTCCCCTTTCTTAGCCCTGTTATCATAAAACAACAAACTTCCCAATTTTTCTTCTGCCCCTTCCCAAAAGGAGTGAACAGGTTCCTTTGAAGGGAGCATTGTATTCACTTCTGTAACACTATAATGTACATACTGCTAATTTAATAGTAGCTTAAATATTTGTTAGAGAAATGATTGAAAAAAATTTCAGCTGATTTCAAAAGAGAATCTGGGAGCCGAGATGGGTATTAAAGTAGAGCAAAGATGAATGAAAGAAGTGGGCATGTCTGCACAGTAATAATGATAAAAAGGATTGGAAGACATAATAGCCTCCCCACAACAGAGAGCTCAGATTGGCCTAACTCATAAGGGATACAAGTAGATCTGAGCACACCGTGTGTGCTGGCAGAAGGGGGTAGTGCTGAGAAAAGTTGGGGACCTTTAAGCACATTAGAAGTAGCCAAAGACATATCCCAGCTTTAAAGCATAATAAGGATTAGGGGGAAACTCTAGGACCTTTCTTCCTTTGCTAATTGTATCAGAGTAAGAGGTAGTAAATTGTCTGACAATAGATGAGAAAACAGTTTAGGAAAAACAGCATTTCTTCTCAGATAGTTATTCACTGAAAACATGTTTGGAACACAAAGTCATCTTTAAGGAATAATAAAACAACTGGGAAAAAAAATCATGTCAGTAATGAAGTACAAATGTAATCAAACTAGCTAGTCATATTTGTTTGCCCCTCTGAAAAGAACACACATGAAAGCAGACAGAAATTCATCCAGTTTATAATCACACAGAAATTCTCTAGGCCCGTGCTAAGCAAAATCCACAAGATTTCATTCTGCACCTTCCTCAGAACTCTAAATTCAGTTAGCCAGCTTATTGATTTATTACCAACCTAATTACCTTCTCACTATTTACCTCAAAGTGGAAATCTATAATTTATCATGAAAAAGGAACTCAGTACTCAGTATTCCATGATTTTCAAGAGAAGTTAGGTTTATTTCTTTATTTATACCACTGTTAGCAGTATGTGTTGATTATCTGTACTTCAATTTTGCCATAAGAAAGATTATCTATTGAAGAAGACATCACTGTTGCTGTTCAAAAGTTTCTCCAGGCACAAGCTTCTCAGCATTTAGGAGATTGCCCACTACTGTTGCCCTCATGATATGATATTTATCTTTTCCTTAGAAAGAAGAGTGTCACCTTAGCCTCAGTCACCCATCACCACCACCACAATGCCCACATCAACACCAACAGTAAAGAAGGAAGTTGTTCTTCCTGTCTGTCTATACATGAAATCTATGTCTCATGCAGTCACATCACCTTTGCTGTTGAGCTGTGCTTCTGTCCAGGTGAATGGGAAACTTATCTGGTAAGTCAAAAAAAGTCACAAGATGCTAACCAAGTCTTTTTTGCTTTTCTCTCTTTAACCAGAAAGAAATACTTGGTTTTCTGTGTTTTAATCATACACAAAGATTCCTGAAATAAAGAGTCAACATTTTCCTGGTTCAGAACTCTGTATTAACAGTCATACCAAATATGTAAACTTGTCATAAATTGTAAGAAACAGATCTCATTCCAATCAATAACAATATGCAAAAGATTCTTAAACACATTTGAACAATTTACATTCAGGGCTTTCCCCAAGGCATAACAATGTCCAGTTTACAAATGTATAATTAACAACTATTTCCAGTTACTTTTTGGTAAAGATAAGCTTTTCAATTCCCCTAAGACTTTAACATGAAACATCAAGGTCTTCTCTATTTTTACACTTGCTATAATATTAGATCAAGTTATTTCATATAAAATTTAACAGGCTATATATCAATTTTTTTCAAATGTTTGAAATGTATAAAAATATCTATATGAAAACTTATAAAATAAATAGATATACCTAGCAAAAGCCAGCTCTGTCTTGCATGCATTGGGCTCTCTGTTTGACCAGTTCTTCTATAAACACTTGTCAGGAATCCTGATGTTCAAAATCAATGAGAACATTACTACTTCCTAAAAATATGATGTCATCCAGGTCCTGGAAGGACTTGATCTCTGGTCATTAATTTTGTGCCTTTATGTTTGGAGTACTCTTGAAATTCATTTCTTACCCTGATCAGGTGCTCAGCTATCATGCTAACTCCCTTTACTCTCCAGGCTGCCTCTCTACTTATAGTTTAGAGCCTCTCACGAGCCTTCACAGAATTAGCTTTGCCCCAGTCCTGGCTTCCTATTCTGGCTCCTCCACTTAGTAACCTTGAGACGTTGGGAAGGTTATTCGATTTATCTGGGTCTCAGATTCCTTGCCCACAAATTAGAAGTAGTAATAATTTCTTCCTTCCAGGGCTGTAATGATTTAATAAGATAATATATGTAATTATTTAGCCCAGTCCTTGGTACACAGTGAGTATTTGCTCATGTCAACGTCATGATTAGACCCTGACAACTTTAAGACCTTTACCTAATTAAAGGCTTCTTTGGGAATAAGCACTTTTTATGGCTTTTTTCTCCCTGGGCTCTATAAGCTCTATGAAAGCAAGACATGGGTCTGATTTATTAACCCCTATATCCCCAGGATTAGCAGATCACTTGGAATTGTGTTAAATATATATTTATTGGATAAATGAACAGGTGACTGACTGAATGAATGAAAGAAAAGTGTGAATGAAAGCTCACGCCACACCCAAGAGGCTGGCAGCAAGACAATGTCCTTGTAAGGAGGCAGGCATGCACTGTTGGTGGGGATGTAAACTGGTGCAGCCACTATGGAAAACAGCATGGAGGTTTCTCAAAAACTTAAAAATAGAACCACCATACCATACCTAAAGAAAACAAAATCACTAACTCAAAAAGATACATGCACCCCTATGTTTACTGAAGCATTATTTACAAAAGCTAAAATATGGAAGCAACCTAAGTGTCCACTAATATATAAAAGGATAAAAAAGATAGATTACATATACAGAATGGAATATTAGCCATAAAAAAGGATGAAATCCTGCCACTTGGGACAACATGGATAGACCTTGAAAGTATAATGCTACGTGAAATAAGTCAGACAGAGAAAGAAATACCATATGATTCCACATACATGGAGAATCAAAGAAATAAAAACAAACAAACAAAATAGCAATGAACTCATAAACACAGAGAACTACCTGATGTAGTGGGGGATGGGGATGGACAAACTAGGTGGAGGGAATAAAAAGACATAAACTTCCAATTATAAAATAAATAATTCATATGGATGTAAAGTACAGCATGGGGAATATAATCAGTAATATCATATGTTTTTGTATGGTGATGGTAACTATACTTAGCATAGTGAGCTTTTAGTAATGTATATCATTTTTTAATCACTCCATAGCATGCCTGAAACCAATATAATACTGTATATCAACAGTATTTCAATTGTTTAGAAAAGTCGAGAGGCAGAGAAACTTATGAGACATCCCAAGGTCCTCTCCATCTCGGTTTTGACCATTGGCATCCCTAATTTGGAGTTCCCAGTTGGTACTTGTCTAGGGATAGGAGTGGGGAACACAGGACTTCAGATAATTGCGGGATGTGCACTTGTGATGCCAGGACAGAAAACCCTGGTTGGGTGCTAAAGTAAATACTTCGGTAATTCTCAAATGAAAAATCACACGGTAACTAGAGGCAAAAATAATGCCGTATCCAAATTTGCCCAGAAGTCACAAGCTAAAAGAATACTTAGCACAGACAAAGCACAGGCAAGGGCATGCCTCACAGGTGTCTCAGCTATTAGATCTTGCTGTGGCTAGCAGAGCATTTCCAAATGCACACAGTGCCTATCTCATGCTTTTGATTTAAGTAAAAGGATGTAATATTTAGCTTTAATTCCTAAGACTCAAGGAAGTCTTTTTTCTAGTCTTCAGAGGAAAACCTGAAATCTATAGATACCCCATTATATCAAAGGTGAACAGAGAAGACAAGAAAGAGAAAGTAGGAAAAGAATGGAGACGTAAAAGAATTAAAAGAAACTTGATAATACATGTGGAGGTATGTATAATTCTATGTATTTTGTATTGCATCTTGTCTTTAGGAGGCATGCAAAAAATAGACCTAATAAACTACTTAATATGGAAAGAGAGCTGAAAATAGAAAACATAAAGAAAAACAGAAAAAGAAACAATGCAGGTGAATAAGTAAACTGACATAAAGAGTGGAAGTTGGAAAAAGACTGGTAAGAAAGAATGCAAAAAGTGGGGAAGGGAAAGTGAAAGTGTGAAATAGGTACTTAGAGAAATATGTGTATATAGTGTATAGCATGTGAATGTGTGTCAGACAGGGAGAGATTGAAATTAAAACTTGTAAACTATGGCTTGGAAAGAAGGGAATGCAGGAAGAGTTGAAGGCTGTAGGAAAGTAAGGGCAATCATGGGAAGGATTTAGCGTTTGTTAACTATCCCAATTCTTTCAAAGACTTTCCTTACCATCTTGCATCATCTTCTTGGTCTTTAAATTTGGCTGCTGACAGAGGAAATCTAATTTGTATATTGTACCTAATTTATGTCCTCTTAATCCCTCTATTCTTTCTTCAGATACCTTCTTAGAAACAGAAAATCATGTTTTAATAAGGCTAAACCCATAAAATGCCATATTGCTTGGAACTTTAAGGTGGATTGAAATTCAATGAAATGAAAATGAGAATGAAAGAATAAATTTAGCAGAAACCTGGTTCTTAGCCCAGAAATATACCAGCTTCATGAATCTGACATTACATGTTCTCTAAAAAGTGACCACAGTTTAAGTATAAATAATAGAAAAGAGAGGTCTGTGTTGCCTTTATTTGAGACAATAGCTGTGCATTAGAGATTTGGAGAGTTACCTATGCTGTGTGAAGCAAATTCCTGCCATCTAGTAAATAATAATTAATGTACTTTAAAAGTAAGTTTTATGAAGTCTTTAAAAAGACTATTTGTATATATAAGCGAGTGCTTTAACATTTCAGATACCCCCTCTGTAATAAAGGAATTGTTTTAAATGAGGAAGTATTTTCTTGCTTCAGCCTGAGCAGCACCACTTGTACTAGTTTGAATTTGGGAACTTCTGTGTTAAATTTTGTTTGGAGAAAAGATTCTGAAGCAAAGACATTATAATGCTATTACACCAGATGATCTTCTCCCAGCCACCTGTCCTCTAGAAGGAAGGGACTGGCACTCTTGTTTCGTCCTACAAGTTCTCATCAGGAAACTTCCTCCTGCCAATCATTTCATACATCATTCCCAATCCCTTTACCTTAGGCCCTTCCCTTGCTCTCCCATATCTGTCTGGGGCTGGGTACTGACCCTGGCCCTACTTTCTGGCACTTGTGACCATTTATTCATGCATTCAGTAAGTACTTATTGGACACCTGCTATGTGCTAGACATTGTTCTAAGAACTTGGCATGTATCAATGAGCAAAACAAAGATCTCTGTGCATCTTACATTGCCACAGGGGGAGATGGACAATATAATAAACTTAGAAAATAAGTAAGTTATAGACTATGCCAGATGGTGATAAGTGCTGAGAAGAAGAAAGAGCCGAGCAGGGTAGAGGATACTGAGCATAGGAGGAGTCATGCTTAGAGGTGGATTCTTGGACCCGTTCCTGCAGTTCCATGTAAGAAATCTACCTAATCCACCTGGCATTTATACACCACCCTGGCACTGACCTATGATCAGAGTTCTTGGAGGATGTGGTAGAGACAATTAGCACTCAAGAAATATCCACACTCGTTACTTTCCAGCCTCCCTTGCAGTTAGGCTGGACCCATCTAACTCATGCTGGCCAGTGACATGTGAGAGAAGAAGCAGTTAAAGGTCAGTGTGGCTCTTTTGTCTCATCCTTCCTTTGACGTGCTCACCTTAGAAGCCATTATGTAGGCACCATGGTTACCCGGCCTGCATCAGAATATGACATGAGCGAGAAATAAACTTACACTGTTTATGCCACTAACATTTCAGAGTTATCTGTAACTGAATCATACTGTAGACTATCTGAGCCAATATCTATGAAAAAAATTTAACTGGGCAATTATAGCAATCATTTTCTGCTTTGTGATGGTAAAGAGAGCTAAAAAGCATGAATTTTTACCTTCTCGTAGATTGATAGAGGTACAAAGGTATAATTCTGCCAGGGAAGAAATGAGTAATGGTAAATTATATTTAGTTGCCCTTTTAGGACCACATAGTCTATGAGGTATTTTAAGCAACTACTTTGATTCATGAACACAATTTACTTTTCTTGGACTCACATAACAGTAAAATTTCATTGAAAAAATTACTTAGTAGAAAATGTGTAATTTGTTTTACTCTAATCAAAATACTTCTTGGGCCATTCAAAGTTTCCTGGCCATTCCCTTGACTTGAGTCTCAAACTGGAAGAATATTTTTTTCTATAAACACTTGTTATAACAGCACGCATTTAAGAGAGATTAAAATATTAACAGAATCCAGATGGTTTCAAGCAAATGCAAGCACAGACATTATTAGCTCTAAGTCATGCATTAGAGAAACTTTATAATACAAATTTGCCTATACTTTAAGTCAGGGGATCATGCTAAGAACTTGTCCACATTTTCCTTTAATGGATGTAAAAGAAAACTTTTTAGGAGATAGCCTCAAACACATATAGATTCATTAATAAATAAAACCAATCTGTATGGAAATATTGATATCCAAGGCCAGATATATAAGTGTATTAAGCAAGAGACCATTAAGGGATGGCAGGAAGGCCCCAAAGACTCTCCCACAGCCTGCCATGGTACCTACAGTCCTCGCATCCATGGCTCTCTTCTTTGACTTGAAGAATTTTGTTTCTCTGTGATAGTTTTAACATAAAACAGTAAGACATAGGTGGAACAGATTAGGCAGGGGAGAGGGTACCCCCCTCCAAGGAACAATGGGCTGGGTCAAATGGTGTGAAGATGGTGATAACAAACCATGGTCCTAAACAAAGGACAACAGCAAACTAACTGATTAATAAATCCTAACACTCTTCCTGAACACCTACTATCTTTAAGACATTATGTTAAGTACTACACAAGATACAGAAATATAGGAATCAGGTCTACTGTCTTGGAGAAGTTTGTAGTCTAGTATTTGGTCTTTGTTTTGGAGCCAGAGAATGGATGCACAGTTAGATAGAGAGCTAGAAATAAAAGTGCAGCCTGTATCATCCTCAGCAAGTCTGCACGAGGCTCCAGGGAGACCAAGGGCAGTCAAGAGAAGGGTATCGTGGGACTAGAGGGAAGGAGATCTAGAGAAGAGGAAACAAGGATGAAATGAACAATGAACTGATAAAGCCACTCTCCCCCTGATAAACATTTTTACTCTTGAGTGTGGGAAGTGATTACAGATTTTGAGGCCAGGAGAATATTATATTCTTTCACCAAATGCAAAGAAACATAAATTGGATTTCAGATAATTCATTTGTTACATTGCTTTTTGCTTTTGAGATTTTTGTTCATCTGTTTAAACACTTACCATCAAACTTTGCAAGTCGGCTAATATCTGCTCCAAGTTCTGAGGTAACTGATAGTGCATGGCGGACTTTAAGGTTTGTTTCCCTGTGAAATTAATTGACATGATATGAATATTTATATGGAACAGTTCAACAGCATCATACTTAAAGTGATCACGTGGGTGCAGCACATGCAAAATCCAGCACAAGAGATGCAAGAAACTCCCTTTGAATGTCATTCACACCTCGCACACTGTCTCAGGGAACTGGGCAGAGCTTTGCAGGCTCTGAATAGTTGGCATTCCACCCCACTGCACATCTGTATAACAACACAGTAATCTGTTTTGCTATTTGAAAGAACAGAGAACATAATAAATATGGTTTCATTTGAACCTACTCAGACATCATGCATGAATTATAAAACACATGAGGACTGAGAACACAGTTGCCAAATAAAGGAGACCAGTATCACTAGAGTCTACTATCTACATAAGTGTTTTACTTGCAAAAGATGGTCATGGCTAATTTCACAGTAGCTGAAATTTAAATGGAAAAAGGAATACAGCTTTCTTTTTCTTGGAGAGTCAAGCCAAGAATTCCATAAGTCTAGAATCACACACCCAGACAGGAACTCAGCAGGTCACAGTGAGCTAATCATCTCCCTGGCAGGACCACACATACATTGGACAGACAGCTCTCCGGTATTCATGGAATGACCAGAAGTGAAGAGTCTGTGACCATCAATCACATCTTGTGTTTAGGGGCTTGGTGTGCCAGTTTCTCACTAAGTTCATCCTCATTCTCTTCTACTGCAGTGTAAGATCATCTGCCAGAGTTCTATCTTTTATGGAAATGTTTAGTAGTGGGTTCATTCAGTCAACAAATATTGATTGTTGTCACCCATGATACTCAATGCTGCCCCACGAGGGTTACTGTCTTCTTGAGAAAAACAAGTGGTAGGTAAAAAAGCAAATGTCACCATTTGGAATTACACGACAGACCAGTAAATAATTGAATTTAGAGAACTAAGAAGGAGGTACCTGAAAGGGCATTTAGTCTAAACTTCCCATAAATGAGTATCACAGTGATCTAAAGATAATATGAATCCAACTCGAGGAATGCCCATGGGTGGAACAGCTTTCTGCAAGAAACACTAAGTTGGGTGTATAAGTGAAGTTACTTTGTTTGAAAGTAATCTCACTGATCAAAATCTATCAATTTGTAGTAGGCAGTGATGAGCACGGATTGAGATAATCAAGAACAAGTTCATAACTGAGGCAGAAATCGAGCTGGGCTTGAGGGATAAGAGTGAGATAGTGGTGTTGAGACTAAAGGACCAATGCATCCATTCATTTAAACAATGTTTCAAATAGTTGAAACATTCAGTCTCACCAGTTAGGGCAGAAAACCCTCTTTTCTGAACCCTACCCTATATATCCTGTCATTCATCAAAGTTTATCATCATTTTAAGTTATTTCCTTAAGATTCTCTCCAATATCTCACTTCCACCTTCAGATGTGGACAATAAAGGGAAAGAATAATCACACATAGGCCTTACTGATTAAAAAATGTTTTTTCCAAGACTCCTGATTAATACCTTCAGTATTCTGTCATTCTCTTCCTTAATCTGCCTTATTACCTTGATAAACTTCAAAATGATTTTCAGCAAAAGAAATAATACAGAAAGAGCCTGCCTACTGTTTTTTCAGTTTCCCCTAATGGTGACATCTTGCAAAAGTATATCACAATATCACAACTAAGATATTGACATTGACACACACAGTCAAGTTATAGAACATTTCCATCAGCACAAGGATTCCTTTGGAACCACCCCTCTTCCCTGCCACTTCCAACCCATCTTAAATCTCTGGCAACACTTAATCTGTGGCTCATTTCTACAATTTTGCCATTTCAAGAATGTTGCATAAGCTGAATCACACATATGGGACCTTTTGGGATTGGCTTTCTTCACTCAACATAATTTTCTGAAGATTCATCCAGATTGTTTCATATAGCAATAGTTAATTCCTTTTTATTGTTCAAGTAGTATTCTATAATATAGAATGATTAATTTTGTTCAACTGTTTACCCACAGAAAGATACACAGGTTGTTCTAGTTTTAGGATGTTACAAATAAGGCTGCCATATATATTTATATTCAAGTTTTTGTGTAAGCATAAGTCTTCATTTCTCTGAGATAAATGCTCAGGAAAGAAATTGCTAGGTTGTATGTAGTTGCATGTGTAGTTTTTTAAGAAATTGCCAAACAGTTTTCCAGAGTGATTGTAGCATTTTACATTCCCATCAGCAGTGTGTGAGTGATCCTGTTTCTCTACATCCTTGTCAGCATTTGGAGTTATCACTGTTTTTTATTTTAGCCATTCTAATAGGTGTATAGTCATATCTCATAGTGGTTTTAGTTTTAATTTCCCTAATAGCCAATGATGTTGAACATCTTTTCATGTGCTTATTTGCCATTTGTATATCTTCTTTGGTGAAATGTCCCTCATGTTATTTATCAATTTTCAGATTGGACTGTACTTCCACTGTTGAGTTTTGAGTAATTTTCATATATTCAAGATAGAAGTGCTTTGTCAGATAGATGGTTTACAAATATTTTCTCCTAGTTTATAGCTTATTGTTTCATCCTCTTAAAAGGGCCTTTGCAAAGCACACAAAAAAATTTAACTGCAATATAATGACATATAAAGTAAAAATTTTTAATTTGATTAAGTCCCATTTATGAAATTTTCTTGCTTTTTGTGCCAAGTTTAAGAACTCTTTGACTAGCCCTGGGCCACAAAGATTTTCTGTTTTTCTCTAAAAGTTTCATAGTTTTGTGTTGTACATTTGAATTCAATTTCCTTAATAGTTATTCAGTTATTCAAACTGTCTATTTCATACTGAGTGAGTTGTGGTAGTTTATTTTTCAGTGAAGTCTTCCATTTCATATAAGTTGTTAAATGTATGTGTTATAGAGTTGTTTTCAGTTCTTCCATACCCTTCTGATGTCTTCAGGATCAGATGTAATATTTTCTGGTTCACTCATGATATTGTTCATTGGTGTCATCTCTCTCTTATTTTTCCTTTTTCAGCCTTCCTATAGGTTTATCAATTTTACTGATGTTTTCAAAAAAATCAGTTCTTTCTTTGTTCATTGATTTTCTCTATTGTTTTTCTGTTTCCAAGTTCATTGATTTCTGCTCTTGTTTTTATTTCTTTCCTTCCACTAGTTTTGGGTTTATTTTGCTATTTTCTAAGTTCTTGTGATGGGAGAGCACACTACCAACTTGAGACTATTTCTTTTCATGTGTATGCATTTAGTTCTATAAATTTCCTTCTCACCACTATTTTAACATCTGCCCAAGCCAGGGATAGGATCAAACAGGCCAAACTCCAGCTGAACAGTCCAATATGACAATTTGGGAGGCAGTGGTTAAAACCATGGGCACTTTTGACAGACCTTTAAGTTTGAGTCTTGGCTTCACTCTTTACAAGTTTGAGACAAATTACTCATCTCTAAACATTGATTTCATCATCTGTACAATAGGGTTTATATAGCACCTATGTCAGGATTAAATGATAAAAGCCATCTAAAGAATGTATAGTATCTTTACAGTGTAAGCATTCAATGCATGTTTCTATGCCAGACAGACAAATTGAATGCACTGAAACAGAACTGCTATATGGTCTATAACTAAATTCTTAACAATAATGTCAAAGTATCATTCCTTTCTTTTCTATGTCTTCATTCCACCCAGTTCAGGAGACTGCATTCTAAAGTACATTAGAACTACTTTCCTTGCGAACTCTTGATCAATACTCCTCTCATTTTCTTTATAGAATCACTTGAAATTACAAAAAAAAAAAAAACTAGGGAATCTCAGTAAAGAGCCATATAAAAATATTCAGTACACATACTTGGCTTGCTATTTCTAAAAGAAAATAAATTCAAGAATCAAAGGTTCTGCAAAGGATCTAACAAATGGAATTTATAAGTGAGACTCCTACTTCCTCCAAGGAAAAAAAAATGAAGACTAAGGTTTAAGGTAGGTTTAAGTCCATTCTTAAATAAATTAAAAACCAATCAAATTAATTATCCTAACTTTAATAACTTACCCATCCAGCTCAGCAGTTTCAATGTAACAGAGGCCATGTGGCTCACTGCTTGACAGAAGAAGCAGGTCAGCCTGTTTTAGAAAACCATGATAAAGAATACTTGAGAAAGAAAGGTTGAAAGCCTTCTATGCTGAATCACCCCTCCACTCATTACTAATGAACCAGGAGAACCTTAGAAGAAAACGTGAGAGGTGAAATCCTGCTCCACCTCTCTGTCATGTGTCCCAAATCAAACCCCTCCTCAACTTTCCTGTTGCTGTTAGCACACCCCTTCAAATCAGAACATTAGCAAGGACAGGGAATATCATATAAATGAATAGCCATTTCACGCACTTTTTTTTGGAAGAAATATATAGAATTCTTTTTTCTTGCCTTGATAATTACTAGTAGAAAATATAAAACTTTCCCCAATAGGTAAGACAATTGAAAATGTTTACATACACATACATTAATTCTTAATATTATCAGCTAAGAGCAGAAGGCAGGCAAAGGAGATGAGAGAAGACATAAGTAAAGTAGAAGGAGGAAACTGAATACAACAGACAAAAAAAAAAGAGACAGGAAGGAAATCTTAAAAAGTAAGAAAAAAGGAAAAAGATGGTAGAGTATGAGGAAGCAGAAAGAGAAAATAAAGCAGCGCCCAAGCAAGAAGACAAGATAGAAAACTTGGTGAAAGACCGCAAAAAACATTCAGAGACCGTCGCGAGGGTGTCACAGAGATGAGTCATCCTAGCCGGCTGTCCGTTGGAGCTTTGGAAATGACTTACCACAAGTCAGTTTAGGATTCTGCTGCCTTTCTCTATTAGGGAACTCTTTGTTTTACTTAAAATTTTTAAATTCACCTTAAAATAAGGGTTTCTATGAAATTCTGAAGGATTTGGATGTTAAAGAATTGAACAAAATTTTAGCAGCTTATTTTGACACACTGGCCTAACAATTTTCTAGCTTTGTCTGAATGTACAATTGGCATTCTAGATCTGTGAAATTTTCTTACCTTTATTTCTAAAAGTATTAGAATTGTCCCATCCTCAATGCCTAGACATGAAATTTAGAATCAATCCACTTATTTCATTGTCTCAAGCTTTTAAATTTCCAACTCAAAAATAGGCAAGGCATGTGTGTGTGTACGTGTGTGTGTGTGTGTGCATGTGTGTGTGCATGTCTGTATGATCTGTTTTATCTAAATTGTGATATAAAAGAGCTGAAAACAGCTCAGTGACAGCCCCTAAAGGAATAAGTGTGTTTGTATTACCAGGGTTTTTCCTCGACTCTAATGAAAGAGTCACAGAAGCCTGTTGAAGCAGAAATACTTTCAAACTAGTCACAATTTGGACAGAGCAACCCCGCTATGGAGGTAATGTGTGAAGAATATAAGCCCCTCTTGAGCCAAAAATTACCCATGTTGATTTTAAAGGGGGAAAAATGTTTTCAAAAGTTCACCTTGATCTTATTTCTCACTTTTAAGTGACAGCAGCAGAGTTTCATGCTCTTTGGGCTTATTCCTCTCCTCCTCTTAGCTTCAAAGGATCATTTTAAACAAAAAACAGAATTCTCTAATCATTATCATCTGTGACTGAGAATAGTTACGAAGTGTAGAGAAAGATACCTCCTTATACCTTGAGTTGCTTGTCTTTCAACTCTGTACAGTAAGAATGGGCCAATGTGAATGATTAATACTGAGCTCAGCTGAGTTAATATATATTTTTGGTAGACCAGGAGAGGACCTGTCACCCACTGCTGGCTCAGAGCACGTGACTGAGGCACCACTGCCACCCGGCGACTGGATTGTCTCTTGGGCTGTGACCCAACTTCCTAGAGGCTGCAACAGGGAAGTCTAAACCCCGTGGTTTCTGCATTATCTTCCTGCTATGTCTACTCCCTGGGGATCTGGGGCTTCTATCTTCCTGCCTCCTGCTTTTCCTGTTTCTTTCTGTCCCCTGTGTTGTCACCTTTTCCTCTGATATTCTGTCCCTGTTCTCTATCTTGACTCCCCTCCTTCATCCTCTGTTTACTCTGCCCCACTGCTGAGCCTTCATAATCCCTTTAGCTAACTTCTCCCTTTGAGGTTTTTTTTAACTCATTATAGTTGAGGAGGAAGTGCGAAGGGACAGGACCAGCAGGGCGGCCGGTGGAATGAGTGGTCAGCCCACCCATCACCATGCAGGGCTCCTGTTTCCAAGTGCACTCAGTAAGGATTCTGAAAAGGAAAGGGCAAGAAAGTTGAGGTAACATCTCTGTTAGTCCCTGGTCACTCTTCACTTTTTCAGAGGTTCAGGGCCAGGGGTGGAGGAACATACGGATGGTCTTGGAGCCCTACCAGCCCCAGGACTCTGTGAGTCCCAGATAGGCCTCCCCAAGGTGATCCCTTTAGCATCTTTCAGGGGCCCAATTCCTAGTCAGTCCAGCAACTTGTGCTTGAGATGTAGGTGTTTATGTTACCAATAGCCAATATTTAGTGAAGGTTTTCTTTGTTTAAAATGTACTGATCAGCTGACATAAATCAAGTTAAATTTCTAAGTTTGGACAACTAGAAGTCATGCATAAGAATTGGGTGGAACATTCTCTGGTCACGTCACTTCCAGCCTCCAACCATGGAGGTCCTAACTGTGGAAGCCCAGCCTTAAGGCAATTAGGGTGACTGTTCTAATGGAGTCTGGAGCAGCATATGGCAGTGGGTAGCAGTGGGGTTCAAACCCAGATGGCCTAAGTTTAACTCCTGGCTTTCCTCTTAGCAAGCTATTTAATGGCACTGTGCTTCTGCTTTCTTACCTGCAAAATGAGAACAAAAGCAGTACTTAAACTGACCTCACTGGGCTAATGTGAGGTTTGAATGAGTCAGTCATATAGAAAGCTTATAATATTATGTGGCATGTAGTCAATCAGTGCTAGCTGTTATAATATCGTGGTCTTCATGACCTGGTTTCCAAGATCCGCCTCCATGCAACTGCTCCTGACAAGGTCTCCTTCAGAGACCTGGGAATGCTGCACCCCATCAGCCCCTGCCGGCTGATGCCAAGGAGCAGGGAGGAATATTAGTATTTGTAAGAGATCATGGCAGTTCACTCATAAAAGCACTTGTTGCCCTTGAAAATAGTTTTGTAGGTCCTAGGCAGCTAGACATGGGAAAGCTTTGAACAACGTGACCTAATCAAGAGGCAGTACAGAGTCTTGGCACTTGGAGGACACCCTTCCTCACTTAGCCAGAGATCAGACGCACAGAGCTCTAACTGTAGGCATCAGACAGAGATCAGCAGAGATAGAAAACAGCATCTTCCTCATTGATAAAGCTGTTGGAGACCAAACTTTAGGTCTGTGGGCCAAGTGGGCATCCTAATACTTCACCCCTGTTGTACTCTTCTAGGCAAAGACCCTGGAAGCTCTAAACTTCCTAGACCCTCCCACCACTCCCACCACAGGGATCTGTTCCTGTAAAAGTGATGACATGAAGGAGTCGGGCAGAATGTACTCGGCACACAGGCAGAGCCCAGAGAGGGAGGCACTGGGTCACGCACACCACTCTCTGCTCCTAAAATAAGCAATCGAAGAAGTCACTCCTGGGAGAGGAGAGTGAGCCAGGGGCGGCAAGATGCTCAGAGTGGTATTTGGGTGCTGTCCCTCCAGGTGAAAATGAGAAGAATGGGCACTGAGGAAAAGTGGAGAATAGCATCCCCATGCCATGAGACAGCCATAATAAAAAGGCCACATCTGTGCCATTAATCAGGTAGCTGCACATCACAGGTACCTATTTAAATCTAAATTAATTAAAAATAAATAAAATTTTATATTCAGTTCATTAGCTGCACTAGCCTTTTAAGCACCCAGTATCCACAGGAGGTTACTGGCTATGGCACTGGACAGCATGAATATAGAATATTTCCTTCACTGTAGGAAGGTCCATTAGACAGTGCTGGGATACATGGGTCATGGGTCACCACCTCCATGAGAACTTGTCCAAATATGTGATTCATTTTAAACCAGTGTTAACAGTGAGCTCCCTGAACTGGTTTCCTTCCACCTGATGTACTTACACTCGCCTTCCGTGGCCTCATTCCACAGAGGGTTTTGCAACAGCAACCGAATATGTGTACCCTAACATAAGAAAAGTAACTAAATTAAAAACAAAGGCCAAGAGAAATACAAATTAGAACATCAAAGCTGGAAGACGAATTGGAGGATAGATATGCCAGCATGAGACTGTACACAGGAGATTTGAGACATAAATTTGACTCCTGCCTTTCTGAGACTCATCCTAAAGAATTTGATAAATAAACATACTAGAGTATATAGCATTAGTGAACAAATGAGTTCAGTCTAATTTTTACCCTTTTTAGAGCATATGCAGGGAGCTCTTAAAACCCACTGTTCTTACTGAATACCTAACAAGAAAATGTACCTAGTATTGCACCTGAAATATTCAATTCCAAATAAAATTAAATTAAATGTGCAGCATATTTTTAATTTTTGCTAATTCCACTATAATCTAGCACGATGCCTGGCATAAAGTGCTGCCAAACAAATTTTGGAATGTACACACCTTAGAATTCCACATATGCCAGTTTTTTTTTTAAAAAAAGTTAAGGTTATCTGCTAGAGGCACCAGAACTCTTTCACTGTAATGATTTTAAGTGAAAGCAGAACCGAAAGGAGGTACATGGAACACTTCTTTTTAAGCAAAGAACCATGAATGTAGTATGTGAACTTTTCTTAATTGGGGCATACAGATGCTTCTTAGCACCCCATTGATCCAAAGCAACCTGAGTTTTGGAAATTTATATGCACTTTTCTTTTTCTCACATAAGACTGACATTTATTATATTCGGTCTACATTTACTGTCTGCCCCCTATAATCCAATGCAACACTAGGTATTAGAGACTGGACAAATCAATGCCTTCAAGAATTATGCAGTCTAGTCTCCATTCAGACAGATTTGACACATGAAGAAACCAAGGGCAGAAAAGAGAAGGTGTCACTGAAGGAATGGAGGAAAGACTCTCAGTTATCACCCCATGGCCCACCCAGTGCCCTTACACTATACAGTGTTCCCTGCTTCTTGGAAGTTCGCCTTATTCTGCTTCGCTTTTACCAAAGCCTATATTAGTACCTGTTTTCACTAACTGAAGGAAATTGGAAAAGAAAAAGCTTTTACATAAGAAAGTGAAAATAGTGTTCAGTGTTTGTTTTGCAGTCAGCCATTACAGAGCCAGCACACACCCCACCCCAACCCCCAGCAGTGAGAGGGGCCCCACCAAGCTCCTTCCCTGGGAACCACACTCAGCATCTCAGCATCAAGCTGTCATAGCTGTGAAGAGATGTCTGTGAGCATCCGTGCCTTATCTCAATTTATTCTGTGCCTATGTTAACAAGATGTGTGCTAAGGTACCAAAAAAAAGTCTAAAATATATTAATTTTGAGACTGGGAAATGCTCAAAAATTTTTTCCATATAAATTAATGGTTACTGCTTCTTTGCTTTATGCCATTTTTGCTTGTAAAAGGTTTCATAGGAATTCTCTACTTTCAGATAGCAGGAGAATCCTGTAGTTGCCTTGATCTTTCCTACAGGGTATGGTCTTCCTACAGATGCCACACACACACACACACACACACACACACACACACACAGTATACTGTTCCTAATCTCTAATGAGCTTGAAAATAAGCTGGAGAAGCTAATTTAAATTGCATCTAATTTTTACCCAACCTATAGGTTGTGAGAACCTGGCAGACTGCCCCAGGTATAAGGAGCCGGGGTTACAGTGGACATTGAGACCTCTCTGTGTTGACATCTTTTTGTTTATTTTTGGTTCTCAGCTATTTACCAAAATATTGAGATCATCAGAGAAAGAAACACTTATCTATTTAAAGGGTGAACTCTTTTGTGAATAGCCTGTCCACTAAGAAGTCTCCTTAGCGTGGGTTAGTCCAGAGAATTGGTATAAGCAGCTGGAGTATTAATGAAAGAAGACCATTTTGAAAAGTGAATGTTTAGGAGTCTCAACTGAGTTGTTCTTGTAAATAGATCTTGAGACCATTTTTTTTCCTGTGGGAAAATGTCTAAAATTTAATGAAGAACATAGCTTGATACATAAAATTGCACTCAACCCGAAAATTTTCTCAAGTAATCGAATATATATTTGACATAATGACTACAATAATTTTAATTTTAAATCTCTGATCTGGTTAACTTTTATTGCCATTCATTTAATGTGAACTATAGTTCATTGCATATAGTTTAGCTATTGTACCAACCCTTCAATTTTATTAAAGAAATTGTAACTTAGGCAGCTTGAATATATAAATTGCAGTACATTTGGTATGCAAAGCAAAACTTCATATATAGCATTTCATTAATTTGGAACAATCTATAGAAATTTTCTGATTGTGATTATTCAGGAAGAAGCATACATTTTGTCTTCTTCTAGCTTATCATTTCTTCAAATATACTGCAAATTAACAGGTTAATCCTGTTATTAAGGGATAGTTTTCAAAATATGTGAGAACAAACTGTTTTTTAAGGGACTCTAGACTACTTTAAAAGCTCTTACTTACATGAAATGATTGACAGTGATTTAAAATCTCTTACATCTATTAATTTAAAAGATCACAAAGGAAACAATCACCATGTTAGTGAAGCAATTAACATGACTTAAAACAACTTATAATTGAGACTTTTTGTTAATACATTCTGGCATTCCCTCCTTAATTATTCTGAATTAGTATAGACTTACTAAATTTACAAATATAAATACTTCAGTACAGGTGCTATTTTAATTGAAGGTAAAATCTTTAACTAATACTGAATACTCACAGCAACAAATTGGTTATTTTCTAATTTAATGATGTCTCCTACTTTGACATTCATCCATTTTTCATTCTGCAATCTAAAAACAAAAACAAAATTAATTTTTTCCAGGAGCAAAGAAGAATCAAGGGAATGTAGTCACAATGGAACGACATACAACAGAAGCAGATAAGACTTTTCTGGAATGTTGAAAGAAAATGACCTTACATAACAAAGTATTTTACTGCATGTATGATATGGGAACTAGCCCCAGAGAGGTCAAGTGATTTCTCCAAGGATACCCAGTGAATTAGTGGTGTCCCTGGCACTAAATTCAAGATGCCTAACTCTTGGCTGGGTGGTCTTTCTGCCATCCCAATTTTATACAGAGGCTCTATACCGTTGCTGGCATTTCCTTGGCCAGAACACTGAAAGGGCATGTGAGGGCAATAAATTCAGCCATTGATTTCTTTTCAAACTCTGTATTAATAGATATAGAACCACCACTGTAGTTGCCTCAGAAGTCTGTTTAACTGGTAAAGCAGGAGGCAGAGGCAAGGAAGAGCAGTCCAGGCCAAAGGCTAAAATGCACACAAGAGGAAAAAAATAAAGAAAACAACACTGAATGATAAAAGAATCCTTGGAAGACTGATTGAGCAAGACCAAATCATCCATAAGCACTGCGGCTGAAGGACAGGCTTGGTGCCATTTAAATGGCTGAGACTGACAGCTCAGAACTGAGAACGGTATGGCCAAGATGCTGCTCTGCGCTCTAGGAGGCTCATGTGCACAATGGAGCCTGAATCTACCCTTCACAAAGTTCAAAAGAGTTTGTGACAAAAAGCTATTATGTCCAGTTACTGATTAGGTCCCCTCTTGACAAGTTAGGCAGAGAGGCCCTCTGGACACAGAGCACCTGTGGCAGTCAGTATACCCTGATGCTAATCATCCCTTCTGAAATCCTCTAAAACATAAACCAGCCTTGCTTTCCAAGCTAGAAGACCTCATCCCACTTAATTTCTCGATTCCCTTTTAAGAGAGAAGGCTAGGATGAGTAGGGCAGGTTCCCCAATAAGCTAAGGTAGGCAGGTTAATTTCATTGTGCAGTGTTTTTAAAAACAACCTAATTTACTTGTTTTATAGGCTGGAAAACAGTTTTAAATATTTATTCAACTGTGAAATATGCCTCACACTATCAACCCTGCTGGGTCATTTGGCTCAAACACTCAAAGATTTTTCTTTAATACAGATCCAAGTACATGTTGTTCTGGAAAGTTTTCAAATGCAGCATTTTCATCTCTAGCCAGAATTCAATAACTTTTCCAATGCCATACTATTCTGCACTTTATCTAGCTCAACAACAATGGGAGAGCCTAGTAAGCCTTCTAAATCTCACTTTATTTATTTTTTCTAATTTTTTTTTTACCAAGTGTACATCACAGTGGTTCAACAGTCCCCCTCCCCCACTGCCTTGACCCAGTCCCCTTCCCTTGGGTAACCACTAGTCACAGTGTCTATGAGTCGAATGCTGTTTTGGTCCTTTTGTTTTGCTCTATTTTTATATTCCATAAATAAGTGAAATCATATGGTATTTGTCTTTCTCCCCCTGGCTCATTGTATTTATTTTTACAGGTATGGTTTACATGCTGGTTTAATTCTCCTGGGGATACCTCCTTTGGAGCATTAGTGACATTTCTCAGGGGACACGGTCTCAGATAAAAGTTGATGTGAATGGACAGAAATGAGATTATGTCTCTATTTATGAAATCTGGACGCTACTGAATTGCCCTGAAGTCTGTATTGAAAGTGCATGTTGTTTAGACGGGCATTCAGATGACACTAAGTCTCCTTTCCAAGCGCTCATTCCTCCTGCCCTACACTGTGCGCTTCAGGAAGGACCACACCCTATCTCTTCCAACAAATGTTAAATCAACCAAAGTGAAAAAGGAACCCTACAGAATCTCTTACACATTTCAAAATAAAATGCACCTTTGATAGTTAAGTTTGTACAGATAAATAGCAAGAGTCACCATTTGGGGGAACAAACCAAGACTTGAGGTTTCTTACTTAAATTCTCTCTAACTTGTTTTTCTCAGTTCAGTTTCATATTTCCCCCTATAAAACCAAAGCAATTGTAAAGATGTTTTTAAACTGTGGTAGTATCCATGGGAATTATTTGAATTAACTGCTGTACTTTGAAAAATACTATAAAGAAAAACTTTTTAAGAAAAAAATTTGCAAAACCCCAGAGCATGCAAAGAATCCCTAATATAAAAACATCAGAATAACTCATACGACCATCCCCCTTGCTAAGATCTGTTAATCTGCTAAAATCTGATAGGTGAAGTAAGCAGAAAATATCTGTAATACTATATATGAGCCCAGCATCTTTGCTTTACCTCACTCTAGTCCTCTTTCTTTTTCTCTCTCACCACCTGCCTGCCATCTGCCGAGAACATATACCCGTCAGTCTGAGTTCCCAAAAGGCCCTTTGTTACTCCAAGACATCTTCCAACACCTTCTCTATCTATCTTTGGTCACCTGCCCTTCTCCACTTATCCCACTGGAAAGTTCTCCCCTAAAAAGAAGCACACCAAATATTTTGCTTCCAAAGTCTTATGAGCAACAGTATTAGAGATCTCAAAAACTTTCTGGTACATGCATGTACAAACTCCACAGGATACAGCATCACCTCTGTGGGCTGTGGGCAATAGGGAACCTTCACCAGGCAACAGTGCAGGTGGATACACAATGTTTCTGAGCTTGAAGAAAACCATGGCTGTGCAGGTACACACCATGGGAGAAATTTCCTCAGAAGAAATAGTATCCAAAAGTCATTAGCAATCTGGAGAGAAACAGCAAGCAGTGTTCCGTGGGTGTGGACCCCAAGCAATATTCCAACTATTTCATCAACAACCCACACACAGACACGTCTGTCAGATTTGTGGACAGCACCATACCGAGAAGAAGCAGAGCATATACGAAGTACGATTATGACAGAAAGTCATCTAATGGCTCAAAGAAGTTACAAGAAACTGAATGAAGAGTTCAATAAAGAAGTACACAGTAGATTAGCTTATATTATATATGTAACTTGAGTTTTGAAGAAAAAGGGCCTGGAGATACTGGTAAACAATAGTCTGTGTGTGATCCCTTGGTTAAACCCCTTATTTGAATACACATCTACAGAACAATCAATGTGTATAATATAGCCAGAGGCTGTTTTTCAAATATTATTCCCTGTTCTGTCTTAGCAGGTAATTATAACTACACTTAACTAGTATCTCAGGGGCCTATTTCAGGGTCATAGCTACAGAAATACCCAAACTTATTAAACAAGTATAAAGTGATTAAAACCTACAAACGAATTTAAATAATCTGTACTTTAAATCCCTATTTTTCTTGTCATACCCACTACCGCCACCATCAAAGACATATCAGCAGAACTGAAGGGACAAATCGGAAGATTTGCTTTAAAGCTCATCTTCAAAATATTTCTGTATTTTAGCCTGTCTATTGATTACATTTCATCATCATCCTAAAACAATGGAAACAGACATTCCCTGGCTCTCCATGTGTGGTGCAGTTGTTCTCAGGCCTCATGATTGAAGCGAGCATGCAGCATAGCTCTGCTAGGGGACACAGGATGGTCTTGTGGCCTCTGACAGTGACACTTGGCTCCACAGACTTGGCACCATCAAATGGCTTTTACCTTTGTCAGGGAAAGCCCTCTTACTCTCATAGAGGAACTGCAGTATATGAATATTCTGAGAGCAAGTTAATGCATTTAATTGCACTGAATCAAGAAATTCCAAGATTTTAAAATATGATCAATTTTTAGTATCATCACATCATTATTTCAGGTTTTGAAATGGACATAATCTAATTAATGCCTCTTTGAACCAGGTTTTTCAAAAATTGGTGGGATAATAAGATAGCCTTTACCTTCATAAACTGACAAGATGATTGCCAAATAATAAACCAAAAGTCAAGAAAATGATTTATACAATTTAAATTCCAAAGTCACCATAAAACATATGGAATTTAATTGCCACAGAAGGTGACAAGTATTACTGGGAGGAAGGAATTTTTAAAACTTTACCCACTAATTCTGTCTACTCTCAGAATATCAGGGAATCTGAGTTATGAGAAAAGGTGGTGAGAGATAGTAACAGCATCTAATAATTGTTGATCCATTAGTCTGAACCTGCTTCTTCCTAAGGAGACATACTAAGAGCTGCAAAGCTTTGCTAAGAACCTTCTTGAGAAAATATAACCCTGAGAGTGAGATAGCACCTACGAAGCTCCATGTCACTGAACTATTGGCTCCAGAGGCTAGAAATGAAGTATTTACATTGAGCAAGGTACCAACCCCATTCCTGAAGCTTAAACGACAAAAGGAGATCTTCAGTGGGTCCCTGAAGGCTCCTGTCATCCTTGTCATATTCTAATGCTCCTGATTGCCCATCAGCAATATAGATTCCTGAAAAGAGGATTTCCTCACAGCTACAGAAGACACGTTGAGGCCTTAAGGAGAGAAAATAATAAAGAAGTCCTATATAATTGACTTCCCCTAATTAACCAATCAACCTTCATACACTAGGTTTGGTTGCTCCTTTAACTTCAAGCCCACATACATCAGATGTATGACATATAAAAGTATTCTTCTGCTCACATAGACTTTGTTTTATTCACTGCTGTATCCTCAGGACCTAGAATAATGGCTAATTCATAGTAGGTACTCAATAAATTATTTGTTAATGAATGATAAATAACAAATACAAAATAATTATTTCTAAAAAAATTTATTGAAAAATAGCATTTCCCTGAAAGTCCAATAAGAATTATAGCACCCAAAATTTATTTAGTGCTTACTGTATTCCAGGGATTGTGCTGATCTCTTCATGCATACAGTTGCCAAATAAAAGCGAATGACATACAATTACATTTGCATTTCAGATAAACAACAGATATTTTTTTTTTAGTATAAGCATGCCCCGTGCAATATCTGGGACATACTCACACTAAGATATTATCTTTGTTTATTTGAATTTCAAATTTAACTGGATATCCTATATTATAATTGGCTATATCTGGCAA